GGTGTGTGGGGCGGGGGGGGGGGGGTCTCGAACTCATCTTCGGTGCGGGACGAGCGCTAGTTTTGTCCCCGAGGCAGCGCGACGAACAAAAGGTTAGCCCAGGACAAAAGAGCCGTGGTGGACTACGAACGTATACGTCGGTCAGACGGGGACCGCGTGGGTCTGCCGATGACGAAGGAGGTAGTCCAGCGGCAGCTCGATGTAGTCCTTGTTGTCGAGCCATGACTCGCCGTCCTTTGGTGGCGTCGCATCCTCGAGAAGCCGCGACTCAAGGCTCGTAAGCAGCGGCTTCCCGTCCAGGCCCAGGCCAAAGTAGCGCCGGAGATCGAGGGGCGGTCGCCAATCCCCGGGTCCCGCATTCATCGCCCCCAGTCGTTTCTCCAACTTCTCTTCTTCCTCGTCGACGAGCAGCTCCTTACCGAACCTACAAAAGAGTCCTTTAGTCTCCTGTCATTTTACCTCTGGGTCTCTGTCCGGCTCGACTCTTATCACGACCCGGAGGTACTTTTATACTTCGTCGCCAACACAACGACGGCGCAAAAACGGATCTTGATGTCAGCTGTGTTATATGAATGGAGTTGGGGGGGGGGGGGCTCGAGTAAAGGTTAAAGCGCAAAAGGTCGTGTTTATTGGGAAAGTACTGGGTTGCGAGGATGTCCTTTGGTGGAATTCGAAGAGAAAAATCCGTAGCATCTCGATGAGAAACACTCCCTTCCTCCTTCACATACACACGCGCGTACCCACGCACATGAATTGGCACTTACAATCGAATAAATCGATGTACATAGGAAATTCTCGCATCGAAGACTCACCTCGCGTCATCCACCCGATCCTGAAAATATGTCGAGCAAACAACTAGCAAATGACTCGCAGTTATCGATAAATATTTGCTTACCATTCGCTAATTCAGCTTTCGCGTTTTCATAATAATTTCCCGATTTTTGCCCACGTTAAAGCCAAACCACGCATATTCGGCCATTGCATGCGGTACATTACAATAACATTGTAATTCTTGCGTCCCAGCGCGACAACGGTTTCTCGCCCGACGACATTCTTCAACTTTAAAAGCCAGCCGCTGTAAATTTTTTTCTCATCGGCTTTTATCCGGTCGTAGTTTACGTCAATATGAAACTCGATACTTCATGCGTGATGTTTGTAGCTTGAACGAAGCAATTACAAATTATGGATGAAAAAGGGAAGGAGACTGTACATAGGGATCCGACGTCGTTATTATTATTGTCGTTTTTACAAGGACTGCACGCATGTAATGAGCGAGCCGTTACGTTTTCCGCAAATGGTCAAGACGAAAGTACTGGTAAATAAATCTGCTTCTGCTTGTCATGCTCCATTGTATCAGAATGTTAAGGATTTATGTAAAAATGAACAATCGTTTTCGAAAGAATCACGATCGACCGATTAATGTTACAATAATGGACAATTATTAAAAAGTATTGTACGAAAAAAAACAAAAATTTGTTAACATTTGTTATCTTTTCATTTAATGATAAGGTAAAATTGTTAAATTTAATCAAATGCTCTGCTCTGTCTATTGATTCGAAAGTCAATAGTCTGCAAAGATATTTAATAACTCTAAAACTTTTATTACATAATTAGAAGAGCATTTGTTTTGTTTTACGGCATGAAATTTGTATCTAACAAACATATGGATATATATAAGATGTATTGATACGAATCGGTATAGCTAACCTAAAGAATGTGCAAGCATGAATGTACATCTGCAATCGTATGTGTGCGTATAAACGTGCACGCGTGCGTACATAAAGTCACTCGAGCCGATAATTAAATATGAAAATTAATTATAAATGCTGTGGATAAGTGAATTCAAGATCGAATCGAACATAAATTTGTTGAATTAACGATTACTTTATCAATGCCAAGTGGCCATTGAATTAAACTTTAGATTGTGTTTTGTGGGAAAATCTGAAAAATAATGAAATTGCAACGAGCGAGGGGGACGTGAGTTGCAAATTTATTCGACTTATTTTACTCGCGACAGGCTTCTGTTGCGATTTAAATTTAAAGCCGCTTTAAATCTTTTCCATTCCAAAAAAAAAAAAAACAAAAAAAAAAGAACAAAAAAAGGTAAAAATTCTTGTAAATACTCAAAGTGGAATCTTGTCCATTTAAAGATAATGTATCGGGCAAAGGAGGAAGGGGCACCTCTCGCTCACCATCACAAACCCGAGCGCTCGCAATCAAATATAGAACAGCCAACAAAGAGAACGAGAGAGTGAGAGCAGAACCTAAAGGTCTCGGGGAGACAGTGATGCCGTCTGCAGAAGTAGTTTTCGCCGCGCTCGTCCTTGTGGCACCAGGTGCCGTCGGGGAAGTACGGGTTGATGCCCAGGTCGTTGAGCTCAAGTCTCGGCGAGTAGTAAGAGAGGGCGTTCCTCGTCTTGCAGAAGACGGCGCAGGCGACCCAGGGTCGAGATTCCTCGTGGCTGGCTTGGAGTCCACCCGCGGCTCCGTCAATATCAGCCACGTGGCTCTTGTACTCGAGGCAGCGCTTACCAGCGAACTCCTCGATGCTCAGCCGCTTGCGCTGACTCTTCTCGCAGATCCTGCCGTCCTTACAGAGCCTGCCGTCGAAGCTTAGCCCCGGACAGGCCTCCTCGCCGTGACAGGTGCGCTTGCGCTCGACGTAGCCGAGGGAGCCCCGGATGCAGCCGCTCTCGCATTTGCCCTCGATCCAGGCGCTCCAGCCCCGAGGACCCGGCGACGTCGTCATCGTATGCTCCCCGATCTGCTGCCTGCAAACTCAACAAAACTTTACGTCCTTATAGCGTTAGTGTGGTAGTAGTGAGCCACAAACCTCCTACGATCCATTTACGCCCATTGCGCTATCGGTGCGTCCTTCCGCGTTTTCATTTTGCCTGTTCGAGCCCACGTAATTTGATTTAACGTTTAACTAAGCACGATTTCGTTTAACTAAGCTCCGTGCGAAAGATTAGAAATATTGGAAGCTTTTTGGCTACGGCCATGTCCCGTTAATACGAGAAGACGACAGACGACAGACGCGGTGATCGAGGCCTCGCCTTACCTCGATGCTCGGGACCTCACGGATTTTCACTGGCACACCTGCTCCGCCGCGAGTCTCATTTGTTTCTCAGCAAATTTTACATAGGTCCTGCGCTATATATAAAGCGCAAGCTCAGCCAATTTATAAAAATGTTAGTATTTATGTCACGGCCCGGCCGTTTTAAAAATACATTATAATTATGTCCTGGGCTATCGACGATGTCTTTATCTCATTATTGTTTTCTCGGATGTTTCTTATGGAAAAGCGGCGAGAAGTTTCCCAACGCACACTTGAGCATATCGTTCGCTTTTATCGCCTCCCATCTTCTCACCCTTCTTTCTCATTGTTCCCATCATCGTTCAATGGCTGCTAGGCCCCGTTGTTAAATTCGATTTCTCGATAGGGAGCTTCTTTTTTTTTTTTTTTTTTTTTTTTTTTTTTATTAAACGAGCATTTGGCCTGACCGATAAAGGACTCCTCTCCCTTATCGGCCCTTATTTCATTATTTCGAAGGGAAGGCTCGATCATCGTAACATCGATTTAACGCGGTGACAATGAAAGGGGACGCGAGGTAGTGAATTATCGTTTGATTGATTTGACGTAACAATTCACTTGCCCGATGAAACTGTTGCGAAGAAAGAAAGGCTTGATCGAACGCACATTAAATTTAAAATTTCGAAAATCTCACGTGGCAATTTTTAGCTCTTACTTATATTCGTTATAAGCGTCGTTACAATACAAAATGAATCACGAATGTGTTTACGAATGAATTCACAATAAATGTGTGTGTGTGTGTGTGTGTGTGTGTGTGCGCGGAGATATATGGACTAGCAATGAATTAGAATGGTGCTCATCTTAAAATTTTGTATTCAAAAGAAAGGATAAATACAAGGTTCGATAGAATTGTTACGAATATTTATATGGTTTAACATTTTTAAACGAGAGAATTTTGTTCTTGAGGGACATTGTTTTTGTTTTTGCATCTGTCCATCGTCGACCGCTAAACGATGAACATATTAACAAACACATTTCAAATTACGAATGATTTGAAATATTAATATGAACGCTTATCTTTCTAAAAATTTCTTATAAGCCCGGCCGATAAATAAACGACGAGGGTGGGAAAAGCTTGATTAGTGCTTTCTGGATGCGCGAGCCCAGGCCAGAACAAAAGGAAGGCAGACTACATTGGGATTGAAAATCATCGGTGCCGTGAAAAGCCAATGAAAAGTAAAATGAATATCGTGACGCGGCGCGGACCGACTCGGTAGCAAGTCCATTGACTTTGGCAAACGAGTTCTGGATGAAGAAAACGTACTTGGCCGATCGGCTTTGGGAGCGCGGCCATGAGAGCGTCAATCGGCGCGAAGCTTTTCCTCCTATCGCGAAGTTTCCTTAAGTTAGCGGGTTCTCGAGTTACCCAGCAGCTCGAACCGACACATCGCCACAAGGTTCTTCTAGGAAGCAAGCAATGTTGCCACTAAAATCGCAACACCGATCTTGACGCGGGTGACAGTAGAGCGAGAGACAGAGAGAGAAGAAAGAGAGGATAATACAGAGAGAGAGAGAGAGAGAGAGAGAGAGAGAGAATGCGAGTGTGTGTGAGAGAGACTGTGTATGAGTGTAAATAATAGAGAGAGAGAGAGAGAGAGAGAGAGAGAGAGAGAGAGAGAGAGAAAGGGGAACGGGAGAATCCTCGTAGACGAGATGACAAGGATTTTGCGGCCGGCCTCGTCCTCACCCACCATTCCTCCTCGCGGGCCAAGCACTCGCCAGCTGTGCATTCGGCTCCCATCTCGCTGCACTTGGTCCCGTCGAGGGCGGGCCCCGCCAAATAGAAGCCCGTCCTTGAAGGGCTCCGGCACCTCAAGGCGCGGCAGATCTCCTCGAGGCTATCGGCCACGGCCTCCCGGTCGCGTAGCAGCAGCTCGCACTGGTGCTTGGCCGTCCAAGTCCTGCCGGGCCGACTCCCGTATCGGCCCTCGTGCTCGAGGCGATGGTCCACCGGCTCGTCCGAGCCATCCAGGAGGCAGGCCTTGCTCGTGGCGAGGCTCGAGGCCACGAGGCGGCTGCAGCTCGACCACTGCGACTCGCCCTCGGTGCCCCGACTCGGGGACATAATGTAGCCGTCCCGGGGACAGTCGTTGCCCGTCGAGTCGTGCTGCATACCTAAGCTATGTGGCAAACATTTGCGATTACGGGGTTACTCGATGGGACTCTTCGACCTCGCTTTCATCGCCTATTCATCTCTCGACGATCGACGGTCCTCCCTCTCTATCACTCCTTCTGCCTCTCGTCACGGTTCACCTTCCCCTAGCCCACCAGGCTAAGAGATCCAGCTCAACTCTTTCGACTCAGTATCCGTCGCACTCATCAATTAATATTGCCCTTAATAATAAAACGTCACTGCATCTCCCTCTCTCTCTCTCTCTCTCTCTCTCTCTCTCTCTCTCTCTCTCTCTCCACATGAAAATAGATATAATAGTTATGCGGCAGACATGTTCTGAAATTCGTTGGTAGGCCGTTTGTAGGTCGTTGGTAGGTCGTTTGTAGGGCAATTGATATGATACTTTTTTTTTATAACACTTGTCTTTAAGTCTCGATTTAACTCACTCGACTTTTGATAAATACCCATTATCTTACGTAATATGCTGCTAATGAATTTTTAGGGAAACGACATAATGAGTAGAGAGGCTTTTTGTTGGCGTTGGCTTTAGATTAGAGGATAATTAATTAATTTGGCAAAAGAGAGCGACTTGTAGGATAATAAATATTTATTCGTAAAGCTAACTCGTGATAATGCCTATTAAATGTAATACTGCTAAATAAAATAACTCAAAGTGACATTTTATGTGTAATGGCATCCTAAACAGAAGGAAGAAATAAGCGAGTCATGCACTATTATTTGATTATTGTACCGATTATTGCAGAATTTGCATTGCAGAAGAATCAGAATTGCAAAAACCAACGGGACTTTTAAGGGATAAAATTATATCGTATCCATTGTAATAATAAAATAAAAAAAAAAACAAAACGAAACAAAAATACTCGATTTGGTGCAATCGATTGCGTGGACAGCGTCGTCGACTGTGCGTGTTGTTCTGCAATTCTAGAATTATTTATTAATCGAGTTGAGAATTAATTATATAAGTAAAGCAAGCAGTGCTAATATTTCCTTTTGGTCGTCCACTTGTGTGTGCCGTGGGTCAGTTACTTGATAGAATATCGACGGGATCGGTTAACCATTGACCTCGCAAAAACTATGATGACACTCTGGCAAAAACACGACCGAGACGAGCGACGAAAGTAGAGGCAATGGGCCTCTAGTCATCGACAAAGGTGAAGAAATGACGTCGAGAGTGAGAGTGAGGGAGACGAGTATGATGAAAAGGTAGATGAGGCAGAGGAGGTGGTTGGCTCAATGGACATCAGACAGTCGATCGGCGTTGAAAAGTTGGAAAATGTGCATACTTGTGAGCGATCTCGTGAGCGGCTATGTAGATCGAGGTGAATCCAGCCGACGGATAAGGCTTCCCGAAGCGATTGCTCACCCCGAACTCGGCGATGACGCACGAATACTCGGGCCAGCAGACGCCTCCCACGGGCGCCAGGCCCATCGTCACGGGGTTTCGCTTGCCATCCTCGAGGGCATAGAAATCGAGGCCGGAGAGGTAGAGGGCGAGGTCCCAGTGCCGTGGGTCCTCATCTCCGTGCGGATTGTTCGCCTTCGAGTAGCCGCAAAAAGTATCCAGTAGCTGGGCGCGCTCCCCATCCAAGTGGGCGAGCTCCTCGGGCTGTCGTTCCATCAGCTCGAGTCGCACGAGCCTCAGGTCGATGCGCCGACCTAGGCTCGGGTGATGGTAGAGCGCCTGAATGTTGTTGATGTAGGCGAGTAGGAGCTCCAGGAGTCGGTCCTCGTTGATCGCGACCCGGGGCAGAAAGAGGCCGTAGGCCGCCGCATCCAAGAACACCGCTTACACGTCAGACAGTTTAGTCCTCGGTTTGTCTCTTTGTCCTCGGCGACATTGGCTCGCGCCGGGCAGAGCGAGTGCATACGCCGTTTGCCCGGCGTTACTTGGTTAGGCAAGAGGCCCGTCGAGTCGCCGCCGATAGACAAGTTTAAGGCCGCTTTTCTCACTTTGGTAGGGTTCGCGTTTTTTCTCTATTTTGCTGTTGTTGTCGGTTTTTTTTGTCTTACTTATACACGCGAACGTACACCCACCACCAAACGGAAAAACTGCCTTTCAATCTCTCTCTCTCTCTCTCTCTCTCTCTCTCTCTCTCTCTTCCCTGTTTCTTTATTTTCAGCCAACCTTATCTCAATAGCATCGAATAAATCTGTTTTGCGCGCAATTTCAAGGACCGAGACGTACACCGAATCTAACCTTTTAAACGAATCGATGCTTACCGACTGCGTATGAAGCTAATAAACCTCGAAATGCTTCCCGATATAAATGCACTCTGCCGCGATGGAGCAGTTTCTCGCGTTTTAAGTTGTTTACTTATATAAATTGGATCTTTGTGAAATGACTTTTAAATGGATTTCAAGAGATTTTTACATGAATATTTGGATGAAACACCGCTGATATTATTAATTTGACGAATCGTATAATATTTTTTTACACTCTCTACTTTATGTTTTATTAAGTTGTGATATGTAGGCCACCCGGTTGCCACCGTCATCACTATGTTTATTTAATTATTTAGGTATATTCATACTCCATTGAATTTCAATATAAAGATAAATTTTAACGCTCAACTCACATCCTTTTCCATACTCATTCCATCACTTTGCAAATTAAAAGCGTACAAACGTTAAAATGTTGGATTTTTTTTTGTTGTTGTAATATTTAAAATTATATTTGACGCAAAAATGTTTTTTCATCCTTGGAGGCAAAGTAGTGATTGTCATTCTCGTTATTAAGTAGTTATAAACTAACTCGTGAATTTGCATAGTCAAATAATTAAATACCTTCTACTTCTTGTATAATTTATAATGCCAATGTCTGGCACTGGGGAACTTAAAGAACAAAACAAAAAACAAAAAAAAAAACAAAAAAATATATCCACTCAAATTTACTTAATTGTATCGCATTTACTCTATTGTTATTACTCTAATCTCAGCAAATACAATAGAAAAATCTAACTTTACCCAATTCGATAGTTAAGGTTGACGTGACATTATTGCCGTCTCTGTATTTATTTTCAAAATCTGAAGATCGTTTTTTACGATTAGATAAGCCTTCGATTCTTTGCATGTCAAGGAGTTGAGATTGGCTTGTCGAAGGAATGCGTCGTCTGTATATTACGTGCGGCTTGTCGAATGACGACAACAGTGATGATCTCCCCTTAAAACGATGACTTTCGAACGATTCTTCATTATTACTTAGTGGTGCTATTTCCAAGTTTTCCGTTTCAGAGAAGACGAATCCATGCTTAGAATATAAAAAGTCAATTGAATCGCTCAAATATTTAAATTCGAGTTTAAAGTAACGATGGCATTGGCAATTCGGCAATAATTTATTATTTAAGCATCGAATTTTTTTTTTTAATTGGCATTTAAATATCATGCACCGATTAATATTTTATAATACATAAGGAATGAGAAATGGAATCGTTAAATTTATAATAATAATGCCTCACAAATTTATTATAATCGTTAAATAAGATTCTGGTAATTCTAAAAAAAAAAAAAGAAAAAAAAATGCTCAAAGCAGGTGCTTCAATGAACGAACTTGAGCAAATTATAGAAAATGTCAAAGCTCGAAAATCTTTCCGACACTGCTTATATAGAATGCATTTACAATATACGGCAATACAACAATACAAACCATTATCCCAGCATCGCACAAACTAATTGCTGCAGTATTAATTGAATCTTGATGGATATAATGGCAGGAAGAAGGCTTTGAGAAATGATCGATTTTACTCAAATTATTATCTTTGTCGCGCTTCCAAACTTCGAAATTCCTCGTCGACAGATTTATGTTTTTTTGCAATAGTAAATCGACTTTCTTGCCGAATACGGTAAAGCTCATTGGTATCTATGGAAAAAATCTCTTTATCGATAAAAATGCAAGCGCAAATACAAGTAAATTTGCCGACGGGGCTTATTGTCGTTACCGTATCATGAATATCACTAGACCAATTCATAGGTAAATTTATTATTTCGAAGTCGCCTGTACTCCGAGCCCATTTATCGAAATCGAGAATGAAACACATGAGTGAAATGGGAATATAATTGAGATTCATTGTAAAAGTATACGTATAAACTGCAGTCTGTTAAGAACTTTCTTTTCTCTTTATAGACGGCCTAATCTCCCTTTTACGAAACATATAATTATTATAGAAATATGTAAAATTTACCTCAATGCTGGTACCATTGCGCAGTCATTGACCTTGCCAAGTAATTCAGATTTGCAACGAAATAAGAGAAAACAAGAGAATGTAGGCAATTGCGATAAATGACAATTGGAGCGTACTGCAACCGTAACTGCAACGTACTGTCGAAATCCCTCTTGATCTGTTACATTTGTCTACAATTGTCGCGGGTTTTTCCAATTAATTAGATAGGCATCGTTTTGTATACATTTTATATGTATACGAGTAGGGAAGGGGGTGGGCGCATATTATTATTGTTGAGGTAAGGAAAGTGGTCGGGTGTAAAATAAAAGAGATATTGCTTGTTACAAAAATCTTAGTATTAAAATATTCCAATAAAAACAATAAATAATAATGGTCAATAATACAACTAATAGAAGGTTCGGCAGTGTATGTAACAGCTATACTTTGCAGGTGCCTGCATCGTTGACGATATCTACGTGTTTTTTTTTTTTTCCCGACGTATGTATAAGGGTACTTCGATATAAATAATCCGATTGTTTCTATACAACGTATGATTTGATTAACTTTTTACACTATGAACGCACTTAAAAAGTGACAAGACGTTTCTCGCGTCTACGGGAATGCCATGATTAGTAAATAACCTTTTCCGTTTTCACTACTTTACATTTAAAAAATCTGCGCTACTCGATTGCAAACGAGTCCGCCCCACCTTTTTACTATTTTTTATTAGGTTCGTTTATGTATTAACTCTTATCGGTTACGATGCACCAGTTGAAAAATGTTCAACGCTCGCAAGGATCGATCGATCGATCGCTCGCTCGCACGCTCTTTGGATCGACATATCGTCAGTTCCTTTTACACGTTTGTCTTATATATTTTTATGCTTTGTGTTGTATTTGTTTTTGTTGTTTTTTTTTCTTTTAAATATTATTTTATCATTATTGTTTAAGTTTATGTTTATTTGCATTTTTATTCGAAACGATTGTTATAATATTGTATAATCTGCTGTCGTTGTCATTAGAAAATGGGCAGCGATGAACACTTTGGTTAAGAGACTTTCCATCGATCGGATGAAATATTCTTGCGGCTTATAAAATTCTAAAATTCTAATCTAACGATGCACACACGAGAGGCTCGGACCGTAACTAAACATCGACTTTCTCTTAATCATTTATAATTTCTTTCCATCTTTCATCCTAATAAAGATATTAATCCACGATCGGCTTATTCACAGTACGAGCCTCAGCGCGACAGCTCCCGTTCTTCATATTCTTTTTGAACTTTTAAACTCGCTTAAATAAAAAGACTACAAGACTCGGCGAAAAAGATGTCTCAACGGCTTGCCTTCACGCGTGTTGAACCTTAATCTCAATGGCATTCGAGAGGTGACATTTAAAAAGTACGCAATCCTCGTTAAACTTTCTTTTATATTATATTATATGCTGAAAAATGTCTCCGATCACGTCACATCTCGTATAAATATTTTCTTATTACAATACATTACAATAATTCTCTCGTATGAAATTTTTTCGTTATTATTTTACTTGCTTACGTACTTTTAATTCAATGCGCCTCCCTAATGAGTTTCTTGTATACGACGGTGGGATACACATTGGCTTAATACATCATACATACATGCGCGGAACTATCGAATAACATCAGCCATCCCGTAATCCATACCTACGCCGTTATAAACGTCAAAATTGAAAAATTCTCCTAATATCATATACGAACTATAATGCGACTCGCTTTAAAAGAGATAATTGTTCCTAGGGGACAATAATCATACCTGAGCGACACTATATAACTTTCCTAGACCATTTGAACCGTTAATTATGCGACAACATTTTTGTCACGCACAAAACAAAAACAACGTTTCTTCTTCATCATCATCATCATCATCATTATCATCTTCTTCTTCTTCGTCTACTTTATACATTAACTAAAGGATAATAATAAAAATAAGGAAAAACTGGACACGAGCAGCGTGCTAATAATGTCGAAGTAGACACTTTTTGATTGTATACGATTCCATGCATCCGATGCTCCGTTTATAAATTAAAGAATTTTTTAATTTCCTTTCATAGATTTCCAAACACGAGCAAACAGTTTAGTAACAAACAAGGAAAAGCGCACGCATTCCTAATTAAATACAATAATTTTTATTTATGCACACACACGCATATGCAGTAAAGACTAAAATATTATCGAAGAAATCGAAATGTTAAAAGTACAGGGGCAACCAATGTTTGTTGACAAAATTCTATTTTAATTTCGAGCTCGACAAAGTATGGATAAGGAAATCGATGCAAAACATTTAAGCAGACAATGACGAACAGTTTAATACTTCGCGACCAAGGCCATACATTGATTTAACAATAATGGCGAAGAAAATTGTTCGACGAATAAGAGTAAAATATTAGGATAAAATCTAGATTATTATTTATTGGGAGTATGGGTAAAAAATTTGAAAGAAAAAAAGAGAGAGATAAATTTATATAAAAAAAAAAAAAAACAAAAAAAAAAGGCTTAATAATATCTTAATAGATGATAGTGAACCGAAGGCTTGGGGGAAGAGGAGGGGCACAATAAAAATAAAAGAGAAAAAAAAATTAATAGGGAGAGGGGTGGTGATGGCGGCTGGGGAGGGGGGGGGCTGCTGGTAGGACCGATGGTCGAGATGATAAACGAACTTGAGCTGCAAGGAGATTCGAAACGGGTGTCTCGTCAACACGGCGTAGTCCATCTTCAAATCGAAACCAAGTTGTACGTTATAATAGCGTCGCAATCTTCTCGCCTCTCTCGCAAGCCCAATCACCATAATGAGACAATCTTATTTATTTGCGAGACGCGTTAATTATTAAAGATATGCCCTTAACAGGAGACGGCATAATTTCATTGGATGTGGGGCCGTTTAATGCCGCTGCAGTTCGCTCGCAGTTGTCGTGGAGTGACAAAGTATAAGAATAGCAGAATAATTTACCCTTCCAATGGCACGATCCAGTTTGAGAAGAGTCGCGTTAGCTATTTATAGTTTAACACTCACTCGTGGTTTTGCTTATTTGCTTAAGCGCGCGACCTCTCCGACACGTCGCCGTCTCACTAGGATTTTAAACACTTCGACTTTATTGCGGGGGTGAATGGCTCTTGTGGCGACCGAAAACGTTAAAATCGGTACGTTGAATTCGGTTAATAGTATAATAGTAATTGCAACGGCTCTTCTTCCCGAACTTTTCGTCATTCGCGAATGACAATTTCGAGAAAAGCTTAAGGACGGAGAGTAAAACATACAAAAATACAGAGCAGCTCTCATTTTCAATGAAAAGCTTGGTTGGGATTGGAGATGGAGCCAGCGGTGATTGGGATGGGAGGGTTCCTAGGCCACTCGATAAACAACAAAAGAAAGAAACGAATAAAGCGAAAATAATCAACCCTAACGAAAAATTTGTCCCGTAACGCGATCAAAAAGCATCTGCTCCAAGGCGAATCGTTCCAAGCCAAGAAATCGCTCGCGTCTGCAAATAAAAATGAAAATTATGGACAAGCGAGTCGTAGCGGCTGCGTTCCAAAGTCCAAACATAAAATGGGCGACGGTGGGGACGACGGTGGGGGAGCGGTGCCCCGACTGACCCGGTACCCAAATTAACCGAGGTACATTAAATGATCCAAACTCCGAGGGACAGAAAGAAGCATAAGCTCTAACGAGGGGAGGATCCATCTGTAGGTTAGGACTGCTCGTCGCTTCCGGGCCACTGATGATGATGGTGTTGGTGCTGATGGTGCTGGTGCTGGTGCTGGTGCTGGTGCTGGTGCTGATGGTGCTGGTGCTGGTGGTGATGATGGTGATGCTGGTGTTGGTGCCCGGAGTGGCTGTTCCAGTCCCAATCTTTGCCTTTGGGCCTGAACTTGCTGACGTTGGCGCCGGGCGCGGCCGGCTGTACCGGCTCCCAGTCCCTGTGGAAAAACTTCTTCTTGAAGTGATGCCTCTCGGGATCTGTCTGTCGTTGGTACTTTAACGGCACCGAGGAGCCAGAGGACGATGACGATGAAGACGATGACGAGGAGGACGAGGAGGACGAGGACGAGGATGAGGCTGCGGAGGCGGAGGCGGTGACGGCAACGACGGAGGTGGCGTTGCTCGTTATCAGGTGGCCGTGACCGGCGTTGGTGTTGGCTGGGCGGGGACTGCCTGGGGAGGGGGTACGGGGTGGGCCCAAGGCCTCGTCCGGCGAGGGGACGATGGGCGGCGGTCCCAGGACGGCGCTGTCGGAGCCGAGGCCGCTGTCCGGACTCGTGTTCACGCCCTCGGTTGAACGCCGCCGTTTGTCCAGCTCCGTCGAGGCGAATGCCACGAGCCGATCGAAGCCCGAGCTTATGCGGTCCTGCCAGTCGGCCTCCGCGTCTGCAAATTTCCAAGTCCCCGGTGCGAGGATTGCCAATGTTAGAGAGGGTCGTAATGGGGAAATAGCTTGCGATTCTGCTCAGAAAGTCCAATTGAAAACTGCAAACCCCGCTGTGAATTTGGAGAGGAATCTGGAGTTTTCTCTCTCTTTTTTTCTCTTTATTTTTATCGACGGGTTAGCTGTTACGTTGGCTTTCAGGTTTAATTCCATACAATTGTCTTCATAGTTGAATTGGTCATCAAGGTATCATTGTTGAGGACCGCGTTTTATCGATAATATCTTCTTACGATATGGAAATATTTTTCATAATAATTTAATTTCGAGAAATTTATTGAACTTCGATGTTCTCGTAAAAAAAATAATTTTTTTTTAATGAACTATTGAACACAATGCTAAAGCTCTCTAAGGGATTAATTTATTAAAAATATTGTAAATTTAAAGAGATTAGAACTCTTGTATATTTTTAAGGATGAAATTGAATATTAAATGTAGTAAAAATGATTAATTAATGCTAATAATGTAGTGATGACAAAAGCTTTTTACAATTACATCATAAACTCTCTTCTGATTTTTAGTATAAGCAGTAAACTGTATATCGTGCTTATTATAAATACACATTCTTTTCTACATGAAATTTGTAAAAATGATCTGAGTTGGAGGCTATTTTAGTATTTAATGAATACCATTTGATTGACATTTTGAAAATATTCAAGAACATAGAAAAGTAATATATTGCGGGTAATATATATAATAAATTAATATATATATTAATTATTATTATATTAATTATATTATATATTATATTATAATATAATATTATAAATATTAATATAATAGTAATATATATAATAAAATAATAAAAAAAAAAAAATAATGTAACGATAATAAATATATTCGAAGTTGACTTGATAATGATTAAAGATATATGATATACAAATCGACCCGACTAAAATGTACGCACACGTATGTTTTCATTCGTCGAAATATAAATTTATTATAAACCCTTGAGACTAGTGCAAATATAAAAATTTATCATTGCGTTGATATATTCCAGTATAATAGGAAAATCAAAAAAGAAAAATATGCTTATCAGCCGTTAGTTTTAAGAAAATACATACCGTATAAAATTGTACAACGTTTCCAATAAAATTGAATTTAATCGAGCGTACTCATAAAAAATAATTCAAGACTAAATTAACAAATAGTACACATTTACGTATAATAATCCAATGGTGTTTAATGATAAAATAAATAAGAAATTCAGATACTATGAATTTAAAAAACAAAATCATTAGATTTTAAAAAGTATGTAATATTAATATTGTAACTGTATAATGGAATGAACCAATTTGTTTAAATTACGTACAACTGTAATAGTCGATTAATGACCGTTGAACTATTGAACTATTGAAGGAATTAAACATTGTTTATATATATAAATATCAGTTAATTGGAGGATTTGAATAGTTTTCAATCGAATTTTCTTACCAAGCAGCATATGGATTTGACAATGAATGAGAGCTTGATTACATTAAACGATATTCTCACAAAAATAAGCCATTGCGGAAGAATATTAGAGACATATGCGGGTGTATGCAGATTGAGAAGGATTGAAGTGGTATAAGATTTGATAAAAAATATAAATTTTTTTTTTTAATGCTGAAAGAGATGAAGCAAACAAAAGAGAGTTAAGTAAACAAACAAATAAAATTTAAACGTTTGGTTACCTACGTAAAGTAGAAGATATACAATTGCCATATGCATTGTCTTGGTCTTCTCCTTCCCCTACATAACTAGAAGCTATATTATTTAATTCTGCATGCAAACATGCAACAAGTCACACTCGGTAATACTATAGCCCAAAATTCACAAAATTTTGGCTTATTTTCATGAAAGTATCGAGATACCATGTGAGTTTTGAATCGCCGTAATGTTTAAAAAAAATTAAATAAATAAAAAAATAAAAATGAAACAGTGACTCTAGAGCAGAGCGGGCATCTCTCATTATTTCAAAACGAATAATTTTTGTTTATTTATACCGGTCTGTTTGTATCGATAGTATACGTATTTCCAATAAGTTTCACAAAAATATATAAAGAAAAAAAGGGAAAAAAAGAACATTCCATTAAGTTGATAAAATAGCAAAGGTTATATTTACTCGCTAAAAGAAATAGTTTGTAAGCTTATGAAGATAAATTAAACGGTTATATCAGTTAACGACATGTTTACCACGGAAGTGATTATATATAGTCTTTTTCAATATACATTATCATTATATATCGACTGTTATCGTTTTACCAGAAGACTTTTATCTTGGTCGCGCTGCTTTAAAGCAACTATTTCTTTTAAGCTGTGAATATATGCCGTGGAGAAAAAAAGAAAAAAAAACCTTTATACTATTATAAAACTACGATAAAATAAGCGAAAATTAAACGTGATTTTAAAATGACGAAAGTTGTCCAAGTCTGACCCAAAAGTTGTTCGTCTTGCGGCACAGTTCCTTTTTAACCGATCGAAACTATCCGATCTAAAAAAGCCACTGCGGCTGTTAATTTTCTTCCGTAAAACGAACGCACTCATGATGAACGTTAAACATGATGTGGAGGTGAATTTTCGAATAGCTGCTTGCATTTCAAAAAAAAAATAATTTAAAAAAAATATGAGAAATTTGAATAAACAACCCGTGGCGGGTCAAACTCACCGACGACTACGAAATCAACCCGAGGGCAGCCAAACACTTTTTCCGTATATTCTCCCTCTGTTCTGTGCCCGTTCTCAATCTCTCTTTCTCTATATAAAACAAGCTGCACGGGCTGTGATTGAGATTGAGTATTGTGACAGACAGAGCTAACCAACATACAGCTACAGTGCATCTAACAAATACACTAAACAACAACAAAAATAAAAAATATAAATAAAGATTTCGAGTCCAGCTCCAATAAAAGCAAACAAGAGAAATATAGTGAAATATTAAAAAATTAAACAAAAAAAAAGATAAAAAAGAAAAATCAAAATTAAACAAACAAAAAAAAAAAAACAAACATAAAAAACCATAATCAAACTATTACAAAATAGTAAACCTTCGCATTGAGTGCATAACGTAACTCAAGATGCAAAGATAGTTTAAATAATAAGCGAAATAAAAGTAAAATCATAACGAAAATTAAAAGCAAAAGGTCAGCACACTTTACTCTAATAGTATATTGTTATACATACATGCATGTGCGTACGTGTATGTGTGTTTGCGCTTATATGTCTCTGTCTCTCTGTGTGTGTACAGATATATATATATATATATATATATATATATATGTGTGTGTGTGTGTGTATATATATGTATGAGTATTTGCAGTCATACAACACACATACAAACATTCGTACGCTCACGAACAAACACGCGTTTGTATATATATATATATATTTATTTATTTATTTATATATATATATATATATTTATATATTTATTTATTTATTTATATATATGTACACGCGCGCGTATATGCACAAGTGCAATTTATCGACGTTATTTTGGTCAACAAAAAGATGAATACCAGAATTGAGATGTTTTATTCAGGAAAAAGAGTAGGGAAAAAGAGTTGTCCCATGGCACAATATAAGTATAAAATATCTGTAGAGTGTATAAACTATATTTTAAACTCAAAGAAATATTAGCAACAACTACAAAAATCTACAAAAATTATTTATCTAAAAAATAAAATAGAATGAAATAAAAGAAGAAAAAAATGTATAGATACAAATTTACGTCATTGTCTAATAACATTGTTTCTAATTACAGTAAAAATAATAGCTGTTACGCATATATTCACTCAGGCTTGATAAAACTTACCGTGATTAATAATCATACATAATTAAATAACACAATTGTGTAATACATCATTGGGATAAAAAACCAATAACGGATAGAAAAAGTTTTGTTGTAAAAAAAATAAATATTAGAAAATGCGGGCCTCTAGCTCCCTTTCGCAATACAAACTCTTCAATTTCTCGTAAGGCATACACACGCATACAAGCAAAAGATTGAGAGGCAAAATAGCAATCGACTTAGCAGACCCAGCCTGCTTTACAATAAACGTAAATTTAATAACTACGCCGACTTTTGAGTACGGGCATAAATTATTGTTTTGTTATTCGAAGCCATATCTTCGTTGACTATGTGGAGGTGTGTCTGTAGGTGTTTCGAGTAAGACCGCGTCCGCGCGTGCCTTCCCTCGTGCACGCGCGTCTACGTACCGTTGTCGCCATGCCGTTGCCGCGGATTCGTGAGATGCGGCTCGTCGACCAGCGGCGTCGAGGTGTTGGAATGTGGCTCGATCAGCGGACTCAACGGCGCTCCGCTCGTGCTCACCGTCGACACTATCGCCTCCGTCTTCACGGCCATCGTCGGCTGGCTTTGGGGCGTCACCGCCCTCGTGCTGTTGTTACTTAAGCTCCCACCACCATTCGAGTACCGTGGATACGGCTGAAACCTACTGCATTGGGAAATAGCCCTTTAAGTTGGCGCTCATCGTCCCAAGAAACGCTATTTAAATGCTGACTATCTCGCTAATGGTGAGCAGCCTGCATTAATTATTAAGCATCGACGATAATCGATAATCGGTAATCGAGCATCGAGCATCGCCGCCCTTAATTCAAGCGTTTGTTAAATTCAGACGCGAGATAGCGAAAAGTTTGTCCATGCCATTATTCATAGGATTGGACTAGAAAACTTGGCAGTGTGATGTGATTAAAGGGATAGGGAGGGGAGGGGTTGGATGGTGAATGGATTGAGTGTGTGTGTGGGGGGGGGGCATTCTTTTTAATAAGAAAATATAGTGAAATAAAATATGCTCGCGAGGGAGCAATACCTTCTGCTGCTCGAGGTGTGTTCGCTTTTAATAATCGTGGTAGTGGTATTGCTACCGCTGCCACTGCTGTTTTGGTTGTTGAGCATTCGGGCGTGGAGGGTGGCGGCCAGCCCTTCCAGAGGCACGATTTCGCCGTTCGCCGAGCTCGCCGCGCTCGTCTGGGATGACTGCACGCTGCTCGGTGCGCTGCTGTGGGATTGGCTAATGGACGTCGAGGGATTGTCGGTGAAATACGACTCGTGATAAGGCTTGATATCCGCCCGCGGCAACTGGACCGGAGTATACCTGTGCAACGACGATTACGGTTTTATTGTCACTTTACGTGCAACATCATCGCAAGCCACGATAATACGCCGCTCGGTACTAGCGCAATTTTTTCCTCCCTTCCTTTCTCCCATATTTGCCATTCCCCTCATTAAAAGCTCAAGATTTGTCTAGTTGTTTTAATCTTTAATGTGGCCTTGGATTTTGGCCGAGTGTCGACAACCAATTGCTAAAGGTTGATTGCTAATAGCTTAAGGCGCGCGCGACGTCTGGGCTTGCTCACCTCTGCGCCTGGCCCTGTTGCGGCGTGTAAAGCACCGAGGACCTCGTGGGGGCCACGGTCGAGGGTACGGCCGCTGTCGGCGCCGAGGGTGTCGGCGCGTAACTGGCAACGTGGGCGAGGGTCGCAAGGCCCGTCTCCCCCTCGGCGCTCGCAGGCCGGCTGATGGGCGAGTAGGAGTTGTCGGGCCTGGCCATCACGCTCATGTCCACGGCCGCGTTGATGATCGTCTGATTGGATATCTCGAGGGTCCGTTCGATCTCGCCGCTCACGAGGTCCCCGATCGTTCTCGTGCCTAGGAGGCCGGCGCTGCCATTGCCGACGGGACCGCTGCTGCTGGCGCCTGCGCCTGCTCCCGGCCCGAGGATCCGCGAGCCCTCGAGTCTCGACGAGGACTGCCGCTGGTGCTGTAGGTGCTGCTGGTGCAGGTGAAGCTTCGTGTCGGGGCCCGCGTGCTCCAGAACCGAGGGCTGCGGCGTCGTCAGCCGTTCCTGAGAGAGATGTCGACGCAGAGCCATCTTAGCGGGCGAAACCTTTGAAGCAAATGTTAGCTTTGACTTTTTTACGGGATTCTCAAAGTAACGGCTAAGAACTTTCATGCGATATACAACAGGTTGCGTATGCATATGCAAGTGGAGTTTTGCTTTTACTTTGCCTTCTTGTCCATTACTTTGAAAATCAAATCAACTTCTGGCAGTCCGAGGCTTATCGAATGACAAATTCGAGAACTCCCTTGTGGCGCTAGCCAGTACCTTACCATCCTCGTTTATCTGATCATATTTACCCACTTCTCACCTAACATCATTACGATACTTACTTACGTTCGCATTTATTGACCATTACAGGCTTTATTCTCACCTCCCCACCTCCCCCCAATTATTTTCCCAATTACTTTTGATTTATCTTAATTTATATTGCTTTCGTTTTGGTCTCAACCACTCACTCTCCTACCACATTACGTCACTTGTATTGTAAGACTTTAGCAATATTTTGGCGAAATATGTAAAGCAACGACATATGCAAAAGGACGAATGAGAATCATTAGACCGAGCGTTCGGACTACCTTCAAGTTGTCATCAAAGCGATCGCTGATGAGGGGGGAGAGGAGAGAGGGGGAGAGGGGGCGTGAAGAGGAGGTGAAGGAGGAGGACGAGAGAACGGGGAGAGAAGGGTGTGAGAGAGAGTGAGAGGAGAAACTTACCTGCGTATAATCCGGTGCATTGACATTTTGCAGTTTTGCGTGTCGTTTCCTTTCCGGCTCTCCAGGCGCCAAAGCTCCCTGCACGTGCATCTGTTGTAGCTGCTGTTGCTGCTTACTCCTGTTCTGTTGGTCCTCGTTCAATACACTAGTGATGATACTCTTGAGCCTATCCTCGAAATTGGCGACTCTGGGAGGCTCCTGGACGACCCGATTCGTGGCGTCGCGAATGACGTGCTGCGGTGACACGGTCGTAGGTGTCGCGACGGCGAAGCTCAGCGTAGCTTGAGGCAGCCGCGTCCTCGATCCGTTCGCCGACGGCGCCGTTGCTGTTGTCGTTACGCTCGATCTGCTAGGCAACCGACCGGCTTCTATTTGTCGCCCGGTTTCAAGAATCTTTTGCGCTAGAAGTTCTGGATTCTTTTCTTGAATTTTCCCGACATCTGGTACGTCGGGCCATTCCTGGGATCGCGAACGACCCTCCCTACTCTTGCGCGATCCTCCACTTTTTACTATGTGCGTCAAGTGCGCCTGTTGATGATGATGATGATGATGATGCTGCTGCTGCTGCTGCTGTTGTTGCTGCTGATGATGATGATGCTGTTGGGGTTGCGGCTGCGACTGCTGATGAAGTGATTGTTGTTGTTGTTGTTGTTGTTGTTGCTGCTGCTGCTGTTGCTGGTGGTGATGCTGATGATGCTGTTGGTGATGATGATGATGAAGCTGCTGTTGTTGCTGCTGTTGCACTATAAGCTTGACATTACTCTCTCGATGTTGGTGTTGAAGTTGTTGATTATTGGCTGTCTGCTTTTCTATGTTTGACCTTTCTATTGTATTTAGCTCTTGTTCTAATTTCGATACCTGCAAAATAAAAATCGTTTTGTGTAATTCGACCTATAATTTCATTTTTTTTTTCATTTTTTTATTAGTTACAAATTTTTAATATTTCGAAAAAAATTAATTTAATTTGCAATATGCAAAAGACATTTTGTATATCCATCTTATTTATTTTATCTATCAGTATATGTATATATATATTTTTATTATATAAATCATTGATAGTTATAAAAATTACTCTTTGACAAATGTAAAACATTATGTCTTTATCCGTTATAAAATAAAAAATAATCAAACAAATGTCCGTATTAACGTTTTTAATTATGAAATAAATTATGTATTGTTAGTAGGTTTTTTTCATTAGAATCGATAAAAATGCTTCTTATTTGTATATTTATCCAGGATGACTTATGCTTTTGATATTAATGGATAAATGTTTGAACGAACGCGAGCCAGACAATACACATACTTGCGAATGCAATCTCTTGCGTTGAGCAAGAGTCGCCGATATCTCCTTCAATATGTACTCTTGAGTGAGTGGTTGTGGCGGTGGAGGTGCGACACTCGTTCCTTGTTGATGGAACTTTTCTTGCAGCTCCTGGTGCCTCAGTGTTGCTAATCTATTTTGTTCAGTCTCTATAGCAGACACTTGAGCCTGTAATTTACTTGCCTTGGCCTGCAGCTGCTTATGTCGCAGCACAATTTCCTTGGCCTTGGCTAAGAGATCACCTGGTGACGTAGCGTTGATACCTAACTCTGTCATCCTCGCTTTCAGCAAAGCTACGCTGTCGTCGATCAACACTTTAATTTGCTTTTCTAATTGAGCAGCCCTTGACTGTAATTTCGAGTTTCTTTCACGCTCTTTTGCTATATCGGCATTTACAGATATCTTATATGCCGGAGTTTTCATTGAATCTAACATTGCCATAAATTGATCCCTAAAATGAAAAATATGACCTCGTTAATATAATAATAATAATAATAATAAGAAGAAGAAGAATTAATTGGTAAGAGAGATAATTTTAACTTTTGCTCAAATTAATTGCTTGGCAATTGAAATAAACAGAAATTATTAACGTACATTTTTCTGGTAATAATTAAAACATAAACATTGCCTACATAATATAAGCATTCAAGTCATACGATTGCTTACAAATCATTTGATTAAGTTAAAAGAATCTTTTACGAGCATTGCTCCATTGGACATTACCATGTTCTTACAAACTTTTACAATTTTTTTGCGTAATAAAATGTACCTTTGACGAAACATTCGGTCATCCTTCAGGAAAGAACAGACCAATGAAAATGGACAAAGGCGTAGGAGAGCAAAAAATGTGAAAATTCTGAGAGACAGGAAAGATTCTCTCCACCTTACCTATATAAATCTAAAAGTATTTGCAGCGCATATGGTGTATCGGCAGGTGCGGCGGGTATGCTCAGCTCCTCGTGTACGGATGCAGCGTTCGGCTGTAGCGTAAGCGATAACGACGATAACTGTTGATCGACGGTTCCGGGCGCCGGTGGTGGTTTCTTGCCCATCGCCTGGGGCGAAGTGCTCAGCAGTGTTTGACTGTGCAATAAATCCAGACCCGATATATTGATAGTCTTCTTGGGCTTCGCCTTCTTGATGCCTCGACCCCGCTGTCTGCCCCTAGTCGCCGGCCGTGAGGTACCACTTGCAGCCTTCCGACTCAATTTCCGTCGCATCTTGGGCTGTCGACGCGTCTTCACCAAATGCTCCTCATCCGCGTCCGAATCACTATTCGTATTCTGTTGCTCCGAATTATTGGGACTATTGTCCAATTGCCGCGACAAGTCTCGCTTCGCGCGTTCACCTCGCTCGCTTCTGCTCGACATCCTATTGTTATTGCTGGCAGTGTTATTTATCACAGAATCTGAATTATCATTATCCGGTGCTCCCTGCTTGTTGTTTTTCAGTCGGTTGAAGTAACGCTCGAGCTTTGTCCGGTCTATCACATGCAGGTAGTAGGACACGGGCTTCCCAGTCCACGAGACGGAACCCTTTAATGGTGACATCTCGGAGACGTGCATTATCGTGCCAATATCTACGTAAACGTAAAACTAGGTGAATATGCCGAACTAAAGCAGTGCGTACGTTATAAATACAATTTTTTGAAAAATTTATTATTTATACGTTCACATGTAATTCAATTGCGAGTTAAGTAAGGTTTCGATAAGTTTAAGGAGGAAATCTTGATCTTGACACGTTATCGAAATCTACTGTGAGAAATGGTTTATTGTATTCAATGTCAAATTGAATACCAAAGATTATTGCGATTTAATAAATTTATACGCTAAATTGTACTACGTAGCACGAAATAACTCTAAATCGATACTTACCACTAAGATTTCTATCAGTTATCCTAAAATTTAAAGGGCAAAAAGATTTCGATGATACGATGCGCGCACCGTCTCTCAAATCTGCAAAACGCTCCTTTAATTGGTGATCTACTGTAGGCCCGAATGCAAAATTATTGACAAATACTATTGTGGCTCCTGTAATACTTTCTCTATGTTCATCGGCAAGGAAGTCGCCTTTGATTAAACGATACTCTCCACATCGTTTTCCATACCAATTTAACCACTTTCTAAAATTCACTTCCATACTCTAAAATGCAAACAATCACTTTTAATATATGAAAATTTTTTACCTTCGTGCAGTTTAACTTGTCACAGTTAATTTACCTCCGCATATTTTGAAGGTACATCAGCCCTTTCAACGCCCAGGCAAATCTTACAGAAAGTAGCAGCAGCCATTTGAAGAACTACCTGGCCAACGCCAGAACCTAAGTCTACAAAAACATCATCTTCAGTTACATCTATCTGATCGATCATCTGACAAACTAATTCATAACTCGTTTCTCCATAAACTTCGGGTGAAAAAGGTTCGTATTGATTTAGCTTGTCAGGTTCAACGACAGCCTGATTGTACGTTTGCTGCAGTATATGTCGCAACAGTCCTCTACTTGGCCTTTTATTTAGTCTCTGAGATGGTAAGCTCGTGCCTTTTTCCTAAATTATACAAAGTTCAATTTTTCATTTCATCAAGACTTAGGATCATTAATTCTCATTAAAGAGTCTAACAATGCTTTTAATAAATGAAGAACATTAAATTTGAAATAATTTAGTAATATTTATAATAAAATTTGTTGAATTTACTAAATGAATATCTTCTTATGGTACTAGCATTTTCATACTATAAACTTTAAACTTTGAAATCTAAGACCTTAAAAAATCATAAAAAAAAAAGATAACAAGTGCTTATTTACCAATTGGACTAAACTGTCAATAGCTCTATTAAACCTATCACACAGGTTTTTCATACTCTCGTAATCCCGTGTGTCATAATTGCAGAGAATGTTATTCTCTAATGGTAGTTTGAGGTCTGGTAGGTCTTCGCAGACCCACCTCATGGTTTCCACTACATCCAGAGCTCCATCGTGTCGATCCTTGAAAATATAGGACATTAAGTAAAACTCAAGCGGTGGCCAAAGAAATTTTAATGTAATGAAAATTTTATTTTATCTTAATGAATAATTTTATCGATCGTTGGAATTAATAAATTAATAAAATATAAGATAATAATAATATTATTATTACTATTATTTATTATAACTATTAAATTCAACAGAAGTATATAGTATGATAGGAAAGCTGGCAAATTATTGACAAGTAAACAAAATGTTTTTTAATGAAATTAATATATTGAGTTAATTAGTTTATTGCATTATTAGAATAAAAGAAGATAAATTTTAGGAACTTTACAAAACTGTTAGGAAAATTATGAAAAAACTTTATAAAAAATTGTGTCTGCTCATTATCGTACCCGTGAATTTAGAATTTTTGAAAATAAATTTAATAGTAAACAAGACACTGACCATTATAATACATAACGATAAAAAGGCATGAGGAAGAAGGAAAGGGGAGCCGGAGGGAGTGAGAGATTATATATCGAGATGGCATTGAAGAAGAAAATGTGGTAATTCACGATTGAAAAATGGGGAGATAAAGTTTCGTCGTTGGTTGTAGTTGTCTAATGAATGGCTATCAAAAAAGTAAAAAAAAAAAATGGAAGGAAAAAGGAAGGAAGGATAGAGGTTATTATAAAAGCGGAGGGAATGGCCACGCGTTCAACCTCGGCGCTCACGCGGTACGACGAGCCGATAGACAGTGGCTGCGAAAACGAAACAGCACGACATACACAGAGCAGCTACTCAGTGGCACTCTCTCGCTCTCTCTCTCTCTCTCTCACTCTGTCGCGCGCGCAATCTCTCGCAATCTCTTCTCCAACACTACTCTACCGTCCACGACGCAGCCTCGACATCACACAACGAAGTCACCTAAAAGGCGCGAGCACCACTACCTAGTCCCCGTACCGACTGGAGAACTCGACGTGAACGTTTTTTTACTTGTATAATGGCACTTCTATCCTTATTAGCTCTTGTCGACGTCAGGCGCTCGTCGATTTCTTAAACAGTCCCTTTAAAAACAGCCAGAAGACGAGATAACCAAGGTCCCATCCCAAAAAATTTCCTCCTCATCAAAATATCCTCTCCACCCACCAAGTAATTTTTTGCCCAGGCTAATTATATAATTGCCGCCTAAATTATCATTTAACCGATATTTCACGATACTCCGCCTCGACGAGTGGTCAATCAATGTTTACAAAGCTCGAATCTTGTTTACAAGGCCTCTGAATACCTAGAACACACGAATCATCGCCCCGATAACCCAATCCAAAATTCAATGATAAATAACCCATTATTGGCGAAAACACGGCCCCTTGGATTTAAAGGCTAAACATAACCTCGTCGAGAGCTTATCAGAAGTGGAAGCAAGAAACAAGTCGTCGAATTTCCCGTAGTCACTCGACCAAGTTTCGACGGCATGGAAATTAAATGTCGGGGATGTGGAATAGGGCATCGAAAGATGCATGTGCGCTTGTGCGTATGTGTGCGCGTATGCCTAAGATGGGGGAAGGGGGAACAAAAACAAGAAGGCTCACGTTTCCAGAGCCGGAGGTGAGCGGCCACTGGTAGACGATGGGATCGGCTCCGGCCGGGGAATGCAGTCGCAGCTCCATGACGATGCGGTGCTGCTGCTGATCGCCACCTCCGCCACAGGGGAAATCTCGCCACCTCGCCGATGTCGAACTCCTCTGCAGCTCCACAGTCGACGTCGTATCTCGCCACCGCGAGCTACCGCCGTCTACTGTCTCTGTCTTTCTTTTACAGCTGCTGCCGTTGCCTGTTTATTGCCCGCCCGCCCGCCCGCCACCACAGCCCGCCTCCGTGCGTGCGTGCGTGCGTGCGTGCGTGCGTGCGTGCGTGCGCGCGTCTACTGCTTGCCGTCCGTGCGCTGTACGTGTGACGTAACGACGGCACGGAGCGAAGGCGCTCGTGTGTTTGATGCTTGTGTACGCGCCCTGCACTCGCTAGGAGAGAGAGAGAGAGAGGAGACCAAAGCCCCTGGTGCACGCACTACTTACACTATAATACGTAGCGCGCGCGCACGCGCCCCCTCATTCTCTCTCTCTCTCTCTCTTTTTGATTACACGAGGAGAACTATCGGAGAGACGCTGGGATGTATACTCTCCTTCTTATTTTTCTGTTACTCTCTATTTCTCACTCTCTCTCTCTCTCTCTCTCACACACACACACCAGCCACGCACCTTCCCTCCCCCACCAGCCTCTCTCGTTCGTTCGAACTCTATCGCTCTCGTTCTCTCTCTCTTTTTTCTCCAGTCAAGAGAGGGAGAGCAATACGTAGGGAGGAGAGTAGAACGCACTAGGACAGCGCCGCCGCGTAGACGAGGCCGAAGCTCGTCGCTGCAGCGGAGCCCGCCCGTCTTCTCGACCGAGGCACTTTCGCGCGCATCAAGACACAACACTACGTTCCTATATAATATAACTGACCCTGCACGTATTATGCATGCATTTATGTATGCTCCTACGTGCATGCGTACGTGTCCATGTGTACGTGCGTTTATGTACGTATCACTGCACACGCGTGCACATTATGTATATAAATATACATATGCATGTAGAGAACGTGTGTGCGCGGCTGCGACAAGCCTATATTTTGCTTTGGCCCGTTTCGAATAGAGCAATAGGGTTAACCGAGTGCGCGAGTGCGAAGAAGGACAGAGACAAGATAAATAGATATGGACGACCTCTTCAGCGCGAAGTCGGCCATGCACTTTTACTTCTCGTCCATGGGGGCGGCTCAGGTGTATTATTACTATCGAGTGGTTGAACGCCACTCAGTCTATATCGCACTGTAGTTGTATGAAAAAAAAGTCACTAGCGGAGCACGTGAATTCGCGTGTCGTTCGTAGCGCGCACTTATTATTATACACGAGCCACGCAGTGCACCACCTCTTTCATTTATTTTTCTTTTACCTCCTCCTCCTCTACGTTTCCTTTTCTTCTTCTTCTCCTCTTTTACACCGCGTTGCTCTCACGGGACGCACGGGGACGCGTCGTTTTCGTAGTCCTCGGCTACGGGGAGTATTCGTTGGCTGGTTAATTCGGAGCGGCGCGATCTCGTTGCTCGATACGCACGCGGACGGCACAACCGAAATCGACCACCACTACCATCGTCATCATCGCCACTACCGCGATCACCACGATCACCACTACCACCACTACGACGACGACGACGACGACGACGACGACGACGACGACGACGGCGACGGCGACGACGACGGCGACGACGACGACGCGCTGTGCTGCGCTGCTGACGGCTCGTCAACGCTCTTCTCTCTCTTTCTCGCAGCCAGCAGCAGCACAGCAGCAGTGGCACACGACGGGCAGAGCGACGCAGGCGCGCACGCGCGCCCGCACACGTACACGGGGCGGAAAGACCGCGCGCGCGACTTTTTCCCTGTGTGCGCGCGATTGGCAGTGGTGGCAGCAACGGCGACGGAGTGGGGAGGGAGATGACGACATCAAAACATGGCGTCACATTCTCGTGCTGCGTGAATCTTCGGAAGTCGCTCCTTCCTCGTTCAACCAACCCGATTCGCCGCCAGTAGTCACTCTTTCTCTATCTCCACGACCACCTTCTCCCTCACCTCCATCCCATCAATTTCAATGCAATTCTGTGTGTTGCCAATGTTTTATATCGGTATGTGTGCATTGTGTGTACGTCAATGCGCGCGCGCGCGTATTATGCGATCGGAATATACAGAGCCGAGTGTACCTGTACCGTGGCGGTGTTGCCGGATTTTAGAGCTAAGCGCCTTTCCGAGCTGCATGTGTATTAATATTATTGTCAATGATGGCAGCTCGCGATCTACACACGTGTTACATTCTTTTTACATTTTATTCCTATCATCTTTACACTATTATTATTGGCAATATTAACAATGTATTAGTAGTGCGATATTCGAATAACTGTTAATCCATTGCTAGCTAATTTCTATAATCTCTATCTATGCTATAAAGCCTGTCTGTCATGTATAATAGTGCAGCTCAATAAGCAACGAACATTTAAATGGCCAATACCTTTTACGCAATTCATTGCAAGTTAATTAATTTTGTATATGAATATTGCCGTTACATTAAGTATTTTCGACTTTTCAAAAAGCTGACTTTTCTAAAATGCATTACACTTTATGGATATTAATTTTCGCTATTACATTAATTGTGAATATATTCGTTATACATGCATTATGTATTATGGCCAATTATCGATATAACAAGCCTATTAATTTGAAATAATTATTTAAGCCCATTATACTACAAAAATAATGAGCACATGGATAGGTATAAATGTTAATGTATGGTAATCCAAGGTAAACTACAGTTTCCTACGTCATTAATAAGTTTGCATTTTTACACGCATAGTAAAAGTGTAAATATTTAATCGTTAATGATTTGCTGAAAAAACTTATCGGTATTTAATATCGTACGTGATATAAAAATGATCGGTCATTATTAATATACCATTTTCCTATAAAGAGCCACCCATGGGCGCGCAAGCGATCGTAAACTATAAACATCATTCGTCGCTCGTTGAAAATAGAAAGAAAAAGAATTTTGTCGTTTGAAAAATCATGGACCATTGAATATTACCCACCGTAATTGTAATTATTATTTTAACCCTTTTAGGTGGTGCACTCGCATCAAGTGAATACCTGCAGCTGCACACCCGTCAAGGGCAGATGCTAAGCAATGCTAAGCAACACATGGTGTCAATTTAAAATTTGCTCTTTTGTCAAGCGATTATTGTCGCTTGTGCTGGTATTTAAATACCTGTTACTGTTTTAATTTCCTATTTTATTCATCATGATTGGTATCCTAACAATATATATATATATATATATATATATATATATATATGTTCATCATTAGGTGTGCATCGTACGTTTTAATATCGATACGATTAAATTATATTAACAATTTATCGAGCTGAAACAACAAACGACTATTTTAATATTTCAACATTGAACATCCGTTTTTCAGGATTAAGTGCTATAAGTACGTTAGATAATATTTGAATAAAAACTGCATTCTCGTCTATTGATTCGTTTTAATAAATGGATAAATTAAATCGTTTACTCCGTTGATATAACAGTGGCATTCTTCGTGTTTTGTTTGGACAGACAATTTATTATACATTAACGGTAAGCACATATTGTTTACGTTCCTGCATACGTGCTGGGGCTAATATTCGATAAGTCGCTTATGAGTTGAGCTGGAAAAGAGGAAAAATACGTAGCGTCGATCTTGGCAACGTTGAAACCCTTTTCCCGTCTTTCTCTATGAGCACGTATAGCAGTGCCCGAGTGTTTGGTGGAGTCGAAAGAGAAAGACTCAGTCACAAGCCGAATCATAGAAACACACTCGCGCACGAGCGCGCGCGCTCCCACGCACACATACAGCATATAATATATGCGTGAATACATATGCATATATATATATTTCTGTGCCATTCCACGAAGGAGCGCATGCGCTGCTCGAACCGTTGAACTTTCGGCCAGGGACAGCGAGGAAAATGGGAAAAAAATTAAAAGCAACGTCACTGGCCGCGCAAGTGCACCGCTGCGCACACACAGCAAACGCCAGCGATTTACGTGCACGACTGTGCGCTTGAGTACGTGACCCTCCACACGCGGCCTTTACGATAAGTTAAGGGGGACGACAGAGGCGCTCCTCGTTTACTCTCGCTACATGAACCAAATGAAGAAAAAAGGGAAACGAAAAAGGAAAAAACAATTACTGTACACGTTACGACCGACCACGTGTCTTTGCAGGACATGTTACTCGTATTACTCTTACATTCATTCTTCTGCTTTATTATGTAAGAATGCCTTATCCTTGTTTACCAAAATATGTATTACTTTTTTTCTTCTTTTCTTCTTTTTTCATTATTATGAGATAACTCGCAAGTGTTATTTACGACTGGTAGTTAAAGCGTCTCTTATATTTATCGTTGTCTCGTGGTTTATTTTGACTGAAACTCCAATGTACAACAAACAATTTGTTTGCTCAGATATGATAATAACTATAAAAAAGAAAAAATTTATCCAAACCTAATCAACATTTATTGTTTTCTACGTGGTAATTTTCACTTTCCTATAGTAAATAATAATTTTCTCAATATTTTCCTTTAGTTTTATATCAATATCGATATTTGCATAAAAACTATGCTCTTTATTAGTTAATCACGTAATTACCGTAGAACTGAAAAAAATATATATATATATATAGGCTATTAAAGTACATGATTAATTCAAGTTTGTTTTTTAATTGCTAAGATTCCTGTTATTCGCACTAGTGCGGAAATTACCAAAGTACGGCGTTGCTTGCTTTGGAATATTTTTCGCAGCTCCTATCCCAATTTCAGAAATAATAGTTTGCTAATGTATGACGTATCGTACAGTGGCTAGAGAACTTGTTCTTTTCGAAATTTTATTTACATTCTTCTGGAATTTCCTCGGACACATAGCGATCAATTTACTTCTTCTTTTACTTCATTCCCTTCCCTCTCTCATTTTCTTGTTCAATGCCGCTATTCGTAACACATTTTTTTTCTAAATTTATTGTTAATTGCAGTTTGACAACTACGGGGCAAACTACCGGAATTTTCGCCAAGTATCGACGGTGACGAAATACCTCGACCAGTTGCCAACCGGAATAACGCGTAGTCATCCCTTTTTTCCTCGAACGCATTAGAGGAAACGGCATTCGGAGTTTTAAAAATGAAAAGAAGTCTTGCAAAATACCAGAAAGTACATAACGCCTGCCTCTCCCTCCAAAAACGAACGGGACATGACTCACGGACCGTTTGTCACGTAGGCACGTGAGACTCGATCGAGGCGACTTTAATACAGCTTTAACATATCCTTGCCCGTATTACGTCCGCGGAAGAAGTACGCCCGATATTTGATATCCCGATAAATATGCAATCGAGCGGTTGTATGTTTCGGATGGCATTATCATCCGAGGTCGTTAGAAAAATCATTTCCAATTTATCGAATGCTGCTTGCATGCAACGAGAGTGAAACGGAATGGAATAATGCACTTATCCGCCTTGTGTCGGTGTTCCGGTGGGATTTTCGAAGTATGCGCCGATCGTTGCGACACCTAACGGAGGCAACGAGAAGCTCCAACAGCGCGTATCGCTTACATATCCGAATAGAGGAGAAGGGCGCAAGTTACGCATGTGTCAGTTAGTAAGATGTAAGGCGACGTGATCGTATGGTATTGTGGTAGAGACGTTGGACGGTGTCGCGGCGCCGCGAGATCTCGGCATCTCGTACGATTCGCTAATACCGCAAAACGCTTAAAATTATTATAAATAAGCCGATACGTCGGATAATTAATTTAACACTCCCTTACACACACGCACGTATATATATATATATATATATATATATATATATATATATATATATATATATATATATACGCGCGTGAATTTGTATATAGTATATATATATTTAAGAGAGCGAGTGAGTGAAAGGGAGGGAGAGTCGGCGCGATTTATAATGACGGAAGATATAAAACTTGATCATCGGGCGAGGAAGCGGATCAAGGAGGTGAAGAAGAAGGCCCGACCTGGTGAGTTGAATTTTATGTGTTGGAGAAACCATGGCAGCATATTCATAGCCCAGTAAACGCGTGTTTCGTGTTTCATCCTGTTTCATAACCTTCGTCATGTTATGGATACGTGCTTTTCGGTCATAGGTACGAGACGTATATCGTGTTATGTCCTGAAATTTTATTAGACACCGATGCCGAACGATTTTGCTCCTTTCCATTTGATAATATTCGGCATTGACAGGATTGTCGGTGCATTTATCGATGAATTTATTGCTGAAATACTTGTATAATACGTACAGGTATTTCTTCCATTACGAGCTGATTGTTAATAATTCATTAAGCGTGGCCAGATCTTTTATTTTGAAATTTTAAAAAATTTTATTAAAATTTTTTTTTATTTATGCCTGCAAATGCTTGAGACGTTTATAATGAGATTTAGTATATTGTTTTTACGTAGTTGATGTAATTTGCAATTAGTATTTTTATCACGTGTTTCTTGTTTATATCCTTCTTGTTTTCTTTTGGTTTTTGCTTTATTTTTGCAAGTACAAGACGGTTTTGTCTTAAATTTTTTTTTTTTTTTTTTTTAACATTTGGATAAGGGATCAGGCTCGTGTAACTGAAACCTTTAGTTATGTAGTGAGTAACAGATTATATGGATCAGAGGTTGCGTATATGCAAAAGATACATTTTGGAACTATGGAAGCTATTTAATTTTTAACTCGTATTCAGATGTAATCATCAAGGAATGACCATATCATCGGTATAATTTAGTTTATATTTTTGTGTATTTTTCATATGATTAGTGTCTTATTTTACCACCAGTTGTTGGGACAATTAGTACAGTAGATTAAAAATGATTAATTAATGTTCTCAGAACTTGCTGACAAAGTAGCATGGTCCCTACACAACTACAGTAAAAAGTTTGGACAGTTCTGGGATTTCAAAGACAATGTTGATAGAATTATCGAATCGGAAGTTTCATCGGAAGAATTTATTAGAAGATACGAGAAACCTTATATACCTGTGATAATAAAAGCTGTTCAGAACGACTGGAAAGCACAGCATAAATGGACTATCGAGGTAATTCAACATCCACATTAATTAATTTAGTATTAAATATAAATAAAAAACACAAGTGGTCTAATTTATGTTTAAATCATATCTACCAGAGATTAGTAAAAAAATATCGGAATCAAAAATTCAAATGTGGAGAAGATAATGAAGGATATAGTGTAAAAATGAAAATGAAATATTATATTCGTTACATGCAGAATAACGAAGATGATTCCCCATTATATATCTTCGATAGTTCCTTTGGCGAGCATCCACGAAGGAAAAAATTATTGGAGGATTATTCGATTCCAAAGTACTTTAGAGATGATCTCTTTCAGCATGCCGGCGAACACAGAAGACCCCCCTATCGTTGGTTCGTTATGGGACCACAACGATCTGGTAATATTATAAATTAAAAATATAATTTATCGGTTAATTCCATTAAATAGTTATCTAATACATCATATTACATCTTCTTACAAAAATTGTACGATATTGAACATTTATAATCGCAGACAAAAACACATTTAAGATGCACTGACATATTAAAATTTGATTTTTTCTTATTACAGGTACTGGAATACACATAGATCCTTTGGGTACTAGTGCCTGGAATGCACTTATCTCTGGTCATAAGAGATGGTGTCTTTTTCCTACGCACACTCCCAGAGAGCTTTTAAAAGTAACTGGCTCTGAAGGAGGTAAACAAAGAGACGAGGCCATTACCTGGTTCTCTGTTATTTATCCACGAACGAAATTGTCAACATGGCCACAAGACTGCTTACCTATTGAAATTTTACAAAATCCTGGAGAGACCGTTTTTGTGCCCGGTGGTTGGTGGCATGTTGTCCTTAATCTTGACGATACAATTGCAGTGACTCAAAACTTCTGTTCCCGTACAAACTTTCCAGTAGTATGGCACAAAACGGTAGGCGTATTTTTATAAATTTAGTTTTTTCTCTCGCTATAATGCAAAAAAGAAGAGAGTAATTTGAAAACATTGATAGATCGCCTAATTCCGTAGTTGGGAAAGAAGGGAAAGGTCGAATGAAAAATTATATCGATAGTCGTTATAATAATTCTTACCCGCGATACGATAAGAAAATAAGGCTTGTGAAGAAATTTTCATTTAGATCAGTCGACCAACGCAAGCGATTATTATTAATTTAACATTAAAACTTAACGCTTTCGAAAGTCTTCTTTAGCAGTCATCTTATAGACTCTTATTTATAATTACCTTTTGACATTTTTAACGACGAATGCACTTTGTACAAATCCCTTCAAAGTCAATTTTCATCTCTTTTGAAATGATAATTATTTATTTCTAAAACGACAAGCATCTCGTTCAATTTCACTCACTATTATATGGTCATTTTTCATCCCAATCAAACATATATCGTCGTCCGCAGTAATTGTTACATGTAATATACATTGATAAGACTTTTATTTGTGTATAAAATTTCTAAAAATACTTAAAAACCTACATTACAAAAAATACTTATATTCGTAATTAATACTTGGTAAGAATATAAAAATATAAATGTCTAGTTGAAATAATGACACTTAAGAAGTATACTCGTTTTACCGTTAGAATTTTATTTACAATAAGAGCACGAATCGTACAATATTTATTAAATTTATTAAATTTATTTAAAAGTAAATACTAAGGCTTATTTAACAGTTATTTAACAAGAGACGCGTGAGATTGGTAAGGCATTGACTAAGCTATTGACATTTTAGGTTCGAGGACGACCGAAATTATCGCGCAAGTGGTTGAAGGTGCTGCGGGAGAAGGAGCCGGAATTAGCCGCTTTGGCGGACAAAATCGACGTTAAGGAGGACACAGGTGTAGCGAGCGATTCATCTAGTGGCTCTTCAAGTAGTTCGTCGAGCAGCAGTAGCAGCAGTCAATCGGAGGACAGTGCGGATGATAGTGGCCAAGAATCGCTCAGTGCTCACAAAAAGAAGAAAAGGTATAAAGAAAAGTATAATGCATCACGGGTAAATGAATTACAAAACGTCGTCTCATTCGATTTAATCTCTTTATTCGTAATGTTAATTTATATAAAGTTAATCGGGATTTATCCATTTCTTTTAACACTTCCAGAAGAAAACTGAACAACGGCCAACCCTGACAATGTCACAATTTTGGGACCTACAGAGACCTCAGACTGTACAGTATTAACCAACAATTATTGTTTGTACTAAGATTAAATATTACAATTATGACCACCTTTACGTTCATAATAAAATAAATGCTAGATAATGCCAAATTTGTTCAGTTATTTAAATACAAACTACGTATAATAATTCATTTAGGCGCCTTTGGAATTGTGCACCACAGCTCTAGCACAGGCATTTTCGGTGGATAAAAAAAGCGTATAAAAACAAACATTCTCATATTCATGAATGACTCACTGGTAACATCATAACTCTTTAAAAGTCTATAAAATATCACGTTCAAGGATCGCAACTACACTTGCGCTATTACACCACGATAGACTCTTGTTTAAAATTTCATTGGAATCCTAATTAACTTAAAATTAAATTATCATAGCCCATACACGCAGTATAAAAAGTTCACTATAATATTTGAAAGAATACAGGATGTAGATTATTCTTTTGACAAAATTCTCTATTCGCATGTTGAAATAGTCATTGTTTACAAATCTTATGTAACGCGGCGCCCTAATTAATTTCCTTCTCTTTATCATTTCAAATTTGCTCCAATTAATGCTCACTGCTAGATCCCTATCATAGATTGGTAAAACGAGGTCAATAAATAAGCGAGAAGTAATACTAAATAAATAAAATACTTCGTATGCTAGCATTTTAGCGAGTTGCTCCTTTGGAAAGTCCTGTTGTCTCTCTTGTTGTAGCTCCACAGCCTCACTGTGCCATCACTTCATGGAGAGCAGATGGCAGCCATGCAATGCACGAAATTAATGAATAATAATACAAAAGCAAAATAATATTGAAAAAAAAAAACATAATAACAATAACACATTTGAGCTTGTATGTATAATGATTAACAGCATTAGAAATTATGTTTATCATGCAGAGAAAAGTGTGAAGAGAGAATAGACAAAGATTGTTATAGATATTTTTGGCCAGCAGCGTTCCAATACGCAAAGAAACAAAAGATACGATTTATGATTTTTAAGAGCTAACAAGCGTGTGCGTATTATAATACATGTACTTGCTTGAAATTGGCCGAGAACTAAGAAAGGAGATCAAGTGAAAAATATTAATATAGTTAATTGGTGATGGTAATGATGGTGATGGTGATGGTTATGGTGATGGCGATGACGATGACGACGACGACGACGACGACGATGATGATGATGATGATTATTATTATTGTTATTATTATTATTATTATTATTATTATTATTATGTTGATAACGATGAAAAAGATTAAGCGAAATTGTTGCATTCAAGTAACAATATTTGAAAAATATTCTTTCCTTTAAACTCATGTTAAATATAAATGTTGGATAAGAAAATTGCTTTTTTTCTATATATATATATGTATAATTTCATTTCTTTGTACGTTTTCAATTACTCAAGCACTTTGGTTCGATCTGTAAATGAGAAAACTTGCTATCTCATTTTAGTAGATTATTCACAAAATTTGTATCGTTACGAGGCATATTAATTATATTATTGAGCTTTGAAGGAAGATCCAGAATGATTAAAGTACACTGGATAGTAATTGATCACTCAAATACCTTAAGCTACTTATTAAAATAGATAAACAATGAACACAGATAACCAAACAAAAACCAACCAAGAGATAGAGATCAAGCGGATCAAGTTATAAAGAAACTGTGGACGTGGACATGGTCAAAGAAGAATCAGGTATGCGCCACAGCTTCACTTCCCCAGAGCTGCAACCAATGTTCCAAGCTTTTAATATAACTAACCTATTAATCGACATTAAGGGGATGTGAAACTGACTTCAAATTTACTCGAATTAATTTTTATTTAACTTAAGGAATGACTAGAACTTTAATTTTATCATATTTTCTTAAGGCTGTTAAATACTAATTTTGTAAAACGAAGCCTTTACCGATGATTTTTTGAAAGCAACTATTAATATGTAATAACGTAGTATGTAATAACGAACTGCAATGCGTATCGTTAGTTTTTTCCAAAAATTATTTTACCCACTTTTGCACGTTCAATTTAAACAGTTGGTTGTAAAATTTGTAAAACATCTCATGTTTCTACGATGAATGTATTTCCATACGAAAAACATTGATTTCAGTAATGGTAATTATACGCATTTATAAACAAAATTAAAATAATAATTAGGAAATAATAATTGTTTTTTAATTCCTTACTTGATCTGTGATTTTCGGAAGTTTCGATTAAATTATTTTGGATTTAAATTATAAAAATTATAACTACACAATTAAATCGGCTAAAAATTTGTGCGAAAAATTAAATATATATATGTTTATAAATTAATAATTCATAAAGTTAATATATTAATTTTTTGTTTAAGAATTTTAAGGTAAAAATGATATGTATTTTTTTTATCGAATCGTATAGAATTGGATTGATCGGGATTACCTTGTTTTTTGAAATTTTACAACCATATTGTAACGCGTCACGCAAAACCAAACGAATATTCATTGGTACGCGACTATAAAAGCATGGAAAACTTACTTAATATTTGAAAAATTAATTGGAAATCAAGAGCATTACGTGCAATTAATTAAATTAACATTTTGGTGCTCTCGCAGATTATCTAAAAAATATTATCGTAAGAGCATTCTCAACGTATTGTGCAATTAGTTCATCATACATAGAGATTTAAGTGATAAAGTAGTAGTACCTTTTTCCATCCCCTTAAAGAGAGTGTGGTTTGGTGTGTGTTATTGCTTAGCCAAACCCAAATGCTTAGAAAATTAGGCAATTCGGGTGAGGCCTTTCGTATAGGTCTAGGTATAGGTCGACGAAAGTAAATTGGAAATATCGCAAACTCACTTGCTGGCCGTGAAGATGTGCTGCTGATTGGTGACTGTGGCATTTATGGCCGAAGTGTGGGCACGCACCTCGCCTAGAAGCGCGCACTCCCCCGATTGATCGCCGAAACTCGGAACGGCCCATGCCCTTAGAATGCCACCACGACATCCGGATATCATGACAGACCCGCTGTTAATAAGGCACAATCCAAGGATCCAATCTTTGTGGGCGTTGTTGAGTGACTGGACCAGTTCCATTCTACTTAAATCCCAGCGCTTGATGCACATGTCCCTCGACCCTATTACGAAATAAAAAACTATTTCACCTCATCTCTTGGTCGATGGGCCTTATGTATTCAGGGGGTGGCTACGCGACTTACCGGAAAACAATGCGTTTCCGTAGGTCGTTAGGCATTGGACGCCGTCGTAGTGCGGCGGCGAAAGACTCAACGATTGGCCGGACATGTTGGGCTCGACGAGTGATATGAGGTGATCCTTGCTCCCGGTGATGACCCTGCCGTCCTCGGAAACGCCAAGGCACATGACTGCGGCTGCGTGCGGAGTGCTTAGCTTGCCGACGTAGGCGAGCTTGCGGAGGTCCCAAATGCGTACCTTGTCGCTCGAAGCCGTGTAGAGCTCGCGATCGTCGAGGCCGAGTCCGAGGTCGTTGATCGTCGTCTCGCCGACCGGTACCTGGAGCGTCCTCGAGGGCGTGGACAGTGTCAGGGGGCCGCTTTGCGCCTGGCCCGATGAGAATAAGGTCTTGATGCAGCTGTTGCTCGCACGTAGGTCCCAGACTTTGACGTAGGCTGCCGAGACGCTGAACAACAGTCGGTGCACCGAGGAGTACTTCACGGCAACGACGTTGTTCGGATGTCCGCCAAGCGTTTGGCTCTCGATTCCCGTTCCCAGATCCCATACCTTTACCGTCCGATCTGTCGAGGTAAGTATTTATTATTTGCGGTTAGGTTATCAAACCCTCGCTCCCGATCTCTTATATCCGCCTATATTTAACTATATTTAACTTAGAGCATCGCACTTTTTTATGCGAGGCTTTTCAAAATATTACCGAGGCAATTTTTGTTTCTCCATCACCCCGAGTTATTGTTAAGCGTTTGAGAGGGGGAGAGAGAATAGAAATAATAATAATAATGCTTGTTGGAATGATACTTGGCAGAGAAGCTATTGCGCAAATTTGATTTGCGAGTTAGATTTTATTAGGTCCCGCGGTCTCAAGTTCGTTATGGTTTTAAATATTCATATATTATATTGATAAGGTTTTTATAATTATTTATACAAGTTTGATGTTATCAAGTTTTTCCCTACGAACATATTTGTGAATTGATAAAAAATAAAAATCACGAATTTATAAAGTTTCATACCTTTCGAGCCGCTGAATAGTAAATCATTGGTTACACAAATCGACAAAACGGCTTTGCTATGACCTTCAGCCACATGAGTGCATTGCAACATTGCTCTGGGCACAGCCTGAAAAAAACCATAAATGCCAGTGTGAATTATCCCATATATGTATATATATATAAATAGATGTATCTCAGATTATGAGTAATTTTTAAATAATCACTCGCTTGTTATATTATAATACATCCGTTAGTAGGTGACTATCGTTTATCTAAAATTATCCTTTTATATTCAAATTTTCAAATGGTACTTTATTACGTACGCCGAGCGTACTTAAAAACACGCGATGCGCATCTCCTCTGAAATATCCAATTAACGAAGAGATCATCGTAAGGAAAGGAGTATAAATCGAGTGCATTGAACTCGTTTCCGCAATTAACATTGCTATCCGCGAAGAAAAGAATCGCTTCGATACATTCGTCGTCTCTCGATCGTTACATCTCATTCGAAATGTTACATTTGAAGCAATATATTTTTAATTAACGCACTTGCACAGGAGACTTACCTTTCCTTGGTAATTACTGATCACCCCCTTAGTCGGTTGATGCTCAACGTGAAGTGTTTGCCTGGTTGCGGTCAACCTCGAAAAGACGTTTTCCTCCCGACTGTTGAAGCGTCGGTAGATGGTGGGTGATCCCGGTGGTGAAGATATGTCCATGTGGGCAACCTGCTCCCTGGTTAGGCCGTCAGTTTGTTAGTTTAGCAAAGTTAGTTCAGCCAATAGTTGTTGATATGTGTTTTAATTCACAGAAAAAAAACCATGCGTTTTTTTGTTTTGTTTTTTAATTTTGGGTTTTTGTTTTTTTTACTTATTCTAAGAGAAAGGTCATTGTAATATGCATGCAATGGGTTTTAGTAAGCGACCAATTTGATAATAAAGCCAATTATTCGTGATTTTATTAATGAAATGCTTCGATTCAGCGTCAAAGTCGTATTGAAATTTCGGCAAATCCATGAGATAAATATGAATATGTCATAATGTGTTACTTAAATACGCTTTATATATGAAGCTTTATTGCAACGTTTATTCTTTATTCGTTATTCGTTATTCGTTACGTATATCACAGCATTAGACACGCAGGACTTTTGGTATGTAAATCGATAATTATGTAAAACGCAGAATTCATGTTACATTTATTCAATATCGTAAAGCTATACAAATGTATAATTTTTTGTTATATACAAATATGAGGTACATTTGTTTTAATGGCTACAAGTCAGTTCTCGGTCTTTAATATTATAAACAACTTACGCTAATAATTTGTACAGACCTTTGTATTACGATGCTCATGCTCATATTTATCAATAATAAATAAATACATAAAGATGTGTATAAATAATAAAGTGCTTTAAGCCAGTGGCATACAATTATAATGGCAATAATTAATGAATCTACAAATCATCGTTACATTGTGACAAATAATTACAAGCCGTTTCTTTAAAAAGCCATTTGATCCCTTAAGTCGGTAATGTCATTTGGAAGATAAAGACTTAACTTACATGCTGCTCATAATTCATAATGTAATTGAATTGAATAAAACACTGCTTGAATAAATAAAAAAAAAACTATTATTGAGTAAAGAGTATCGTAATTAGCGAATGTAATCCAAGTCAATGTACAGACAAGTCAAGAGACAGAAAAGGGCGCAAGACGGCGTGCAGTGTGGAATTTTGAAAAATTGGCCGCTAGTCGCCAGTTTCGTTATAGGATCAATCCGATTCAAGGTCACGTTATATCATTGTACATCTGCTATTCACGCATTATACATTTTACCTCACCATCATCGTCTACAACTAGAAAAGAGGGAGAGAATATCAACAAGAGTAACATAGTGCCACTGTGCAAAGTGTGAAAATATAGGAATAATAGAGGAGAATACAAGTTACAAGCCATCTGGAGCATTGTCACTCACATGGAACCGCCACCTGCGTGTAGAGCTCTGCGCAGGGGACGTGGTGACGTGCTGTCGCGACGACTCAACGTCGGTGAGCCGATCAACCCACTTCCATACTGATTCCTCGCGAGTACCAACCCCCTAAGAGCATGCAAGTTTTATTTTTGTTGTTGTTTTTTTTTTGTTTTTGTATTGTTGCTTCGTTTTCAATAATGCCACGTACAATAATTCCAATTCCTATCTACAGTTGCTAGAATATTGCGCTACGATCAAAGCGATCCTTATAAATCTGTGATTGATTATTTCTCGAGCCCATGGTCGCGCATTAGCCCGTCGATTCTTAATTTTCAACTAACAAAAATTTCCAAAACAAGTACTATGTTGTGTTCCTCATAGTTTTCAATATTATTTTTAGGTTTATTTTTGAAAAAACTGTTGATTTTAATATATCTCGAAAATGTATATTCATCGTTAAGTATATCATCATACCTGACGCACAACTTTTAGGGAATAAAATTATCTCGATACAATAAGAGCACGAAGCCTTGCGAAATGATTCAAACACAGATTTGCAAAACATAGCCGACTCGGCCTGAATAATATTATTATTTAAAAAATAACAAACTTTAAGCTCCCCGGTGCACTAGGGACTCTCATAAGCGGATGATTGTGATTTTGATTTTGATTCTGATTCTGATTCTGATTCTGATCCTCAGTCTTTTGATTATCTGCATTCGTTGATATCCCGTACAAGAGCTCCTGAGGCTGAGCAGTTCGTCGGCGAACTTTAATACTTCTTGGCTTGTCGTCTGCTCCTATGCCTTGCGAAAGGCTCTCGCTGCTGTAAAATTTTACTCGTTACATTAATTAGTAATTGTCAGTTGTTGGTTTCCAGTGTGATCGTCCGCGTGATTTTATCATAAATTATCATCTATTTTTTTTTTAAATTGGAAAATCACTGGCAAGATATTTAGTTCTAGTAAAAAAAGTTTCCTTCGTCGAAGCCACAACGCATTAATAAACATACGCGCAACGTCGGATTTCAATAAATTATTATCGATATTTCAAGCCGATATTATTCAAGTAAATCGGATAATGTGACAATTCATCGACAATTGATAGATATTATAATAGTTGAGGTAAGCGACAGAACGTTCCCCACCACCTTATTACCTAATAGAGCAAAAGTTTGAGAGTTCGAATTTAAACTTCACGCGAGCAGTACGTATTTAGTTCAAAATAATTTTCAAATTACTTGTCCGGCGATGAGCTGCGCGAACTCGGTGGACTGTAGGCCGCGGTGGTATTGTTCGTATTATTGCTGCTGGTTAACGATAGGAGATCCCTATCCCTCAAAACGTGCTCGAGCAGTTGATGCTGAACGTCGCTCTCCTGGGCCACCTGGTTCAAGCGAGTTTCCATGTCGCGCGCCTCCACTTGCTTCTGCGCGGCTATGTAGCTCTGCTCGATCGTGAAAGTCAGCATCCGCTGCATGAGATATTGGGCCTCGTCCACGGATTTGATGGTGTTGACGAGAGCCTCGACACCAGGGTCGCCGTCCGTTTCACCGTCAGCGTCACCCATTTCAACCATGGCTCTTTGGCACTCCGATATACTGTCCTAAATTACGAGCGACAATCGACAACATTGAATACATCCTTATTCGCGTCATGTGGATTTTTAAATTAATAATTTCATTCGACCGCTCGCGATGATTGGTGGTCGTTCGAATTGGAAAACAGTCAAAGCAACAAACCTGCAAATAACTAATTTTACTCGTAACGTTGTCGATCTCCTCGTCAATATCAAGGGTATCGCTCTTAGCCGAGGCGACGACGAGCCTGTGCTTTTTTAGTCTCTCCAACTCCCAGCCTAGCTCCTCTCGCTCTTGTAATAGCCTCTCCATTTCTCGCTCAGTCTCAGCGACCGCCTGTTTTGCCAAGGCCTGCTTAGTAATCGTCCTCTCGAAGGTTTGCCAACGCTGCTTGAGAGCCTTTGGATTTAATATCTTGGGAGTCGCGGTCCTGCCGGCGGCTTTTTGACTCAGACCTCGGTCCCTCTTTCTCAGCGCTGAGACCTCTTCTTGCTTTCTCCTCAGCACAACCTCTTTCATGCGCTTATCGGCCTCTAGTGTTCTAATCATGTTGGCGTTACGTCGACTCTCCTTCCGCAACTGCGCGATTTCGCGATTCCGTTTGAGCTCATTCTCTTTGTGACGCTGCGCCTCCTCGCGCATCTTGTTCAAAAGCTTCACCTTCGCTCTCTTCATTTCAGCGAGTTCGTTACGCAGCCCTCGAAGTCGATTCTCATTTTGGGTCTGATTCTTCAACAGTCTGGCGTGCTCTTTCTTAGCGGATTGGAGTATCTTCACTTCCTTCTGCATGGACAAGAGTTTCTTTTCATACTCGTCGCGTAATTTTTTCACCTTCTCCGTCGGGGCAGAGGGCTGCTGCTGAAGTGAAGAAAGCACTTTGTCCCTTTCATCCTGCGTATCGCGTATGCGAAGTTGCAATTGAGCCAATTTATCCTCGTAATGCTGCTTCATAGTCTGCAGGCGTCTTTGGGAAAGCTCGAGCTCCTGGATGAGACGTTGTTTTACATCGATATTCGACGTTAAATTTTCCAATTCGCGACCCATAGCCTCTTCCTCCTCGTCCTCTTCTGTAAATTTATATTTCACACGAATTTTGTTGGCGGCGCTCGTTTTATTTATGTGCACTAACGCTTAATGGACATTCTCTAAACGACTCGAATAATATTTAGCGAGTGTGCATTTGAAAATGTGTTGCGGCAAAGTACTTCGGTTACATCGCATTTTTATTTTATTTTATTTATTTATTTATTTATTTTTCTTTTATAAACATCTATCTCTATAAAAGTATTGATGATATGAATTTGAATAATTATAATCTGTTACTGTTTTACGTCAAAACGTAAAAGAACACAAACGTGAAAAATTAATTTCCTTATCCATTGATCGAGTAACAAACTAATGTTAATAAGCATCAACATTTTTCCTACTCAATGGTTTTATAAAAAAACGAATAATTACATTTGCCGAAAGTATGAGTCGAATGTTAAATATACCTTTTCGATCGGAATCGTCATCCGATTCATCCTCACTCATGGATTCCTGACCATTCTCGGTATCATCCATGTCACCATCGTCGCCGTCTCGATTGCTAATATTTGAATTTTGGGCCTGTTGATTTTTAAGGCTCGCTAAAAGTGCCTTTTCCTTCTGCAATTCCTTTTTAGCATCCAGTAACAGCGAGGACGAGTCATTATGCAAAACATGGGAGGTGTCTCCGTAAGAATTATTAGCTGCATTCATCTGTGCATTATACAATTAAAAATAATGTTACTCGTAATCGACAGTACGAAGACAATGCAAATTAATGGACAACTAAGAACCATGCTCGATACTAAATAATAAATTGAAATAAACGATTAAAAATTTATATAAATAAGTAAAATAACTAACAATTATTGCTATATGGTGATTAATCAAGCTTAAGATAATTCTTGAAATGTGCGTAATATTTATTAATATAAGGATTTAATGAAATGAAAAATTATTCTATTTTTCTACGCAAAATATTTTATAAATCCTTATATATATATATTATTTATAACTTAATCATGATTTTTCAACAAAAAATAATAAATTAAATAAGCTAAATGAGCGAAATAAGTTTTTCTCCTTATCAATTATAAGTGTAATTATTTTTGTAAATTAATTACTTAATTAACTACGCATTTCCTATTATAAATTATGATCATTCCGCTAACTAGTTTCATTAACAGCAGCACAACCATGTAAGAATAATTTATGATTAAAATTTCTTTTAACTTATATCAATGTGTTATCCCAAAATATCTTAATATCCATATATTAACATGTACATAAAATATAATATTATCAAAAAGATATTTATTTATAAACATCATCTCTTTTTATTATTGCTCGTAATATCTTTTACGTTAATCTACATTAACTTATATTTTATTTAACAAATTTTATATTTTTTTATTTGATTAATATTTGTCTTTAAGCTAAAACAGTTTAATGGTTAATTGTTAATATATAGACATGTAAATATATATATATATATATATATATATATATACATACATACATACAAAAGTACCAACAAATTAAGAATGACGCAATCTTTTCATTGCTATTCTGATAAATTAGGAAATTTCAAATTAACGTGAAATATAAATATCGATTAACAACTATAGGTAAAATTAAAACGAAACACATGTGCAGTGTATCTACTTATTATTATCCAGTAATAAAATTCTATTTATACAAAATATGGAAATAAATTATATGTAGATGATTTATGAATTATACTATACCCATAAGCATACCTCTGAATTTTGAAGTTGACTTTCTATTCCGAACGAAAGCTGGTCGATTAAAATAATTTTGTGTTTAATAAAAATATAAGTAAATTTACAAATATTTTTTAACTATGCATTTTCATTTTCGTCTAATTTAACGAATTAATTATAAAAGTAATAGATCGGTATTTTATACAAACGTTAACTGGCTCCTTAACGTTTTAAACACGAAGATTCTTTTTGAAAGCGTTTACGTAAAGTTTTACATAGTTACTTAATAAAATATTTGCGCATTTCAGGGCTTAAATGTTGTTTTATTTTCAAATAAATCGAATGTTTTAAAACGAAGAAGATTATACGATAAATTTAAATCGACGGCTTGAAACGCTTAAGTGTCAATATGCAAAGTCCATTGATATTGATTGAAACATACAGTATTGTAGGAATTGAAATGAAATAATAATTTTACCAGTAAATTATTACAGAGAATAGTGTAAGGCCATATACGAATAAGAGAAAATGTGAATCGAAAGTAACACTCTCGGCTTACATAAATTAAAATGGGCGTTGCCATTGTCATTTAATTATTTGAATAGATTATCAGTTATTGATAGAAAAATAAAAAATAAAAAATAAATAAAAAAGTAAACAGAAATTGACGTAAGAAAATGATCTAAACGATTTCTTTAGCAATTACACAACTCGTTAGATGCAATTAAAAATTCATCAGTTTTAGGTAAATATGCCAAAGCGCAATGATAAATATAAAATTTATTAAAATTTAGTGTTGTTAAAGCTGAAAGAAACAAGACATATGATGTAGTTTGTTTACATTAAAAAGGTGAAATTGAAAATAACAATCGATTGTTTTGGAAGCGTTTATCTAAATAAGGAGATTTGAAATTAGAAAACCGGAAAACCAAAAAACCGGATTCTCGCGTGCTTTACGAAGCGCACGTTTGGTTCAAGTTATAATCGCGTCGTTAGTCGTCGTTGCTCCTTACTCAAGAGGTCGATCAGATAATAATATTGTTTCCACTTTCATTTGGACTAATGGAAAATATTTAGCTTATATGTTACATTCACGGTTATTAAAAAAAAAAGAAAAAAGAAAGAAAAAAGGAGAGAAAAATGTAGCCACGCATTTCACAGTGAGAGGGAGAGAGAGAGAGATGTGTGCTTGTTGAAAAAATCTAAATCGTTTTATGTCGATTATATTGAAAATCTGCACGAGAATCCGCGATGAAAAGCGAGAGGGAGACGGATGAGTGTAGAAAATCGATAAAATTTGATTATACAAGGTCCAGATGGGGCGAACAAATCATACAACTGAATAGCGACTGCTGCATAGCAAAGACACCGCAGGACTTTCAACGTTCCTTGTTGTCTGCCTTGACGAAAGTAGATATTAAATTGAAGATAATATATATTTGCGGTAATGAGACAATCGATGAAAATTGCGAGTCGAAAAAGAGTCGAGGAGTGTATGAATATATCACCGAGTAAAGAATAAGAGCTTCTTCATTATTCACGAGTAATCGATGCAGTGTTTATAGCCAAATTTACCGTTAGCTAAGAATATTGCTTAGCTAACTTAGCGAGTGAGCCGTTCGTCGTAATTGATTAAAAAATGATGGTTAGATCAATAACTTGTGAGTAAATGGCGTTACACCAATGCCTGTAGCCCAATGGAATTAAGTAAATATGATATTTTGGCGCTTGATCAAGTTGTATATTTGATAATGTCTGCCCGATATCGCGAAACGTCATGGAATTCACTTACGTGCATCTGGCGTTTCTTGAGTTGCTGATAAAGCGCTTCGGCCTCCAGGAGTCTCGCCCTCAGCTCCTCCACCTCCTGAAGGTAGCCTTGGACAAGTCCGGTGACGTCGCCTCCAGCGGCAGCGGCGCCCGAGGACATCCACTGTCCAGCGGCCTTTTCGGCCAGCAGCAGGGAGTTCTTAGCCGTGAGGACGTCCACAGTCTCCGACAAGGCCTTAACCCGCGTCCGCAGACTCTGGAGTTCGCTGTTCAGCATTTGGTTTTCGTGCCAGGCGTCGTTCACGCCATCCTCGCCCACCACTCGCTTGCCTGCGCCAATTTTTCAAACATCTCACACGCACGTCGTAACGAACCAACTCGAGCGCCATTTTTAAGTCGCACTCGCTATATTAAAAGCTTATCCACGCGTTTTCAATCGGTAGGCTTTCATTCAAACGAGCAGTGATTTATGAGGTCCATTTACGATAGCGCAACTTGCATTAAACGCACGAAGGCCGCAATTCGCAGTCTCTGTTTATTTATTGCTCGATGTCGCGCATCATACTTCGATTACTTAGTAATTTCAATTTCATGATTTACTTAACGATTGGGAAATCGAGGGGCTTTTCGCTTCGGTCGCCGACACGCTGTCTTTCCATTTCGCACGGATAAGTCCTAGTGACACCGAATACGGATTATTGCGGGTAAATTGTTTCATAGAGCGGAGCATTACCGAGATCATTCGCACTGTTAAAGAATAATTACCAAAATGAACCGTGTGCACTATAGTAATCAACACTCTTCATTAATTGGATTGAATTTTATAATCTCGTGAAGAGTGATATTAGCGAATAAAGAGGAGATGAGTTTTGCTATGTGGGGACGACACCATGTTCCCCCTTTGAAATGATCGAGGAGTCGAGAGCAAAGGCCCTTCTGTGACAGTTACTCGAAATGTATTTACTCCTTCAAGAATAAATGGGCGGCGGTGGACGGGGATGGGGGAGGGGGAGGATTACACGTGACGATCTAAGTATAATTAGATGTTTTATTTAGAAAGCCAAGCTTTACTAAATTATCGTTAAATAAAAATATACAGCTTATATAATAGTAATGATAAACTTAATAAAAATGTATTCGTCGATTTCATTGCATTAATAATTTACTTGTTGAAAAGATTTTTTTAACGTTTCTAAGAATTTAATAGGGCGTGCGATTAAGCTAAGCGATCATTTAGAGCTTTTTACGAGCTTCTATCAAATGGCATAGCGAAATTTTATTAATCACATTAATAAGTAAAACAAATAAAGTCATTTTAAATATATTAAAAAAAAAAAAAAAAAAAAAAAAAAAAGAAATGCAAAGAAGCAGTTAGGATAATGTAATGAGATTTCAATATCTATATTAATTTCCAAAACAATTTGCAATTGTGCCTTTTACCCTACGCTGTAATTAAGGTCGGTTTAGGTTGAACTAAAGGTTGGACAAACGCTAAATGCTTTCGTAACGAACGATTGACTTATGGAAAAAGTAGTCGTGTACGTAGTTCGAATCCTGAAAAATTTTACCGCAAAGCTAATACGTATACACAATTTTTTTCAAATTTATCGCGGGACATTAGCACGGCACCAAACGATTAGTGCTCTAATAAAGAAATGCGAAAATAAAAAAAAAACAATTCTAAGACTGCAATAATTAATGAGTTTAGAGGTTCGACAATTAGCTACCACATATCAATATACTGTAAAGTACAACACACCGACGACGATTCGTCAATGAAAATACCAATACTCGCGTAATTATTAGAAAAACATCATACAATCAATCATCCTACATCCTACGCACCTTGGCGATACTCCAATAATTCCATTTGAAGCTGTTGAATCTCCCTTCGCAGCGAGGCGATGGTCCTCGAGCTCTTATCCTGATTAATAGTAACCTTGTTTTTGATATTTCGAGCCCGATTGGCATATTTCAAGGTGCTGAGAGTTTCCATGAAGTCGCGGTCGCTCGGTGAGACGCAAGCTATCATGACCGTCTGGCTATTGCCCCCCAGCGAGTCCTGCAGCAACCTCGTCAGCTTGGAGTCTCGATAAGGCACGTGGAGGGCTTTCTTCGTCTTGTCGCCCAGAGCCGAAATGACATTGCCCAACGCCAGCTACAACGAGAACTTACATTAAAATTGCCGACGTTGTAAGGCCAAATTATCATTATGGAATAAGGCGACTTAATGCCGGAAGTGTGTAATTTTAAATGCCAAACGTAAAGTACACCACTGACCATAAAACTGTATATTTATGTTATCGAATATATGATTCGAAATTATTTGTTGCTCTCTCTCTCTCTCTCTCTCTCTCTCTCTCTTTCTCTTTCTCTCTCACTTCCTGGGATAGAACATACTAAAAATTTCCTGCATGAATTTTTTATACAGCCACTTAATGTTTTTAAATGCCAATTTTCGTATAAACATTGCAAATACGGTTTCGATATGCCATTATATTTTTGTTTTAAACGTACCGTAATGAACCATTTGTTAATGATTTTTACGACAATTATCCTTAATAATGTTAAAGTTACTTACAGATCCGTTATAAGCTGTATCATAATGATTTCTAATTATTCTTCGTTTTATCGAACTTTCCGACGATATAATTTATGCATAAAATATAAAATATGAAAAAAGTATGAAAAGGCACCATTGCATGTTTAAAGGCCATGGAAAATCAATATACCGATGATAAACAATAAAGTTGTTATAAAGCAATAAACACAATTTATTTCAAAACTCGATTATCGTGATTGTGCAGTTATTCTTGACTTCTTGCTAATAAGTAAATTAACGTTGTAAAACGATGAAATAAATTTCATCATGATTGATACATGATAATTATTAATATAAAACGACAAATTAGACGGTAAAAGTAAATAATCATTGTTTGCGCACGCGCCGTCCATGCAGGCACTCGAATCATTAATCTACCAAAAGATGTCGGTAATAATAATAATAATAATAATAATAATAATAATAATAATAATAATAATTACGACGAACTTACCAGTCCACAATTGATGGAAATGCCCTCCTTGGCTCGATCACCCGTAGCTCCGGTCCGCTTCAATCTCTCGGAGCCGGCCAAGTCGACGAAATGAAATTTAGCCGTCAGAGTCTCGAATTCACTGGCAGATTCCATGGCGTTCGTCGTGTCCACGTCCGCGTCGGGGTCCTCGATTTTAATGCAACGCTGCTGCTTCACGTAGAGGGTGAATATCGCATGGGATCGCGAGGACTGAGTATTCATTTGCGTGGAACCGGTCGTTCTGGATAAGGCACCTAGGCGCAGATACTCGAGGGCCTCTTGTGGGCTGGTGACGATGCGGGACTCGACCCCGGCGAGATGGATGTTGCCCGTCGTGTCTTCGTGGATACGGGCTCCCCCACGCGGACCACCAGGCTCAAGAAGGTCCTTCAGATCCTCATTGTAGAGTTCCAAGAATTGCGCTGTCACCTGGTTGATTGTAATCCTATTAGATGCTACGGTACTCGCTACTTCCGATCGATAATCCCACAATGTTGAAATGCCATTCTCTCTCTCTCTCTCTCTCTCTCTCTCTCTCTCTCTCTATCTCTCCCTCTCTCCTTTTTTACTCTGCTTCTTTTCTCTAATTTTCTCTCTTTCTAATTCAATGGATATGCCAATTTAACTTTTCACATAGATGCGAATCATCGCTGTTTCACTTTGGCGTGCGTAACTTCGCGTGCATCATATGATTAAAACAAGATATTCAAGGCGCGATTCATTCTTACATTTCGATAAGAAATAATAATAATTTTAAATGTAAATTTAATTCTTTCTCCAGTAAATTAATACGGATAGTAGATTGGAATTTCAAAATATGAGACTCAAGGGGCAGATAAATATAGATAATAATCAAAGAAAAAATCTTTTGTCCTAACATCTTAGTTTTGGATTTGTAAATAATTCATAAACAATGAATTATTCTTTACACAAAGGAACAAAGCTTCTTTACATCGTCTTTTAATTTAGTATTGCAATTCTTTGTACACTTTTAATAACTATTCATGACATAAACGTACAATTCATCATTGATTGCATAACTTTTTGAAATATCAGAAGTACCGAATTGTTCTAATATGACGAAAAATATATAATCACGACGACTTAACGATTAAGAATATGTAAAATAAAAAATTCTATACTATAATAAATATAATATGATATATGATATAACAAATTTTTCTACTATAATTTTAAATAATTGCTCAACGAAGGCAATTACAATGGCAATTACATCAAATAGCTTATAGTAACATTTGAATTAGCCTAGTCACTTAACACGTTTCAAGGCCAAACCCTTGACAATAAATTGTATACCACTAATGACACTAACAAAATTCGAATAAGACTTTCAATTCAATTTCAATTATATTGTGTAATAAGATAGTGCCTTTAAGCAATACCCGACCAATATTGCCGATTCAACTGCTTATTCGTTAATGTAAATCTCCATGATAAAATCTAAGTGCCCACGACGATTTTTAAATTTTCCAACGCGACATGAATTTGTTGGGCATTGCTTTTTCACAATTCTTCGGGTATTTGGTAATGTTATTGGAGGAATATGTAGCTTAGCCATGAAGCATTGGACCGTATCGCTTAGCAGCGACTCCCACGAGTTTCGTAAAATCCTAGACGCATATATCGCGTATCATTTATGAATTACGTGTCTCGGATCATTTTAGTCATCTATGTCATCTCATTCGGCCTCTTTGTAAAGTCGTAGGTATTATGTACGCGTACTCATATTCGGTTACTTGTGCACTTTCGCTACGCTTTTTTTTCGCAAAAACATTGCACTCCATTCGAAATGGCGTTAATTATCGGAATTAAATGAATAAAGACACTTTCGTATCGTATGTATGCATAAGTTAGATCCCTTGAAAGTACTTAAATTAATAAAATAATTTATTTTGTGCGTTAGTTAAACAAAGGCTTAAGGAAAACAGGGGATTAATGTTATTAATTAACTATTAATAAAAGTTCAAATGAAAATTTCGAAATGGTGAAGTTAAACCTCATTTTGTTGTAGTATGCATACACGCCTTGTTTTAGTAAAACTATTTGTACTGTTATTTCCGTGCATTCTATGACTTTACATAATTCTGCATTGCAATACAATTAAGCAAGTTATTATTACAGGCGTTATAGATTTCATTGAGAAACAGAAGCAAATATTTTCACATTCCATTGATGACGTCTCGATGCTTATGATAATTTAATACTGCGTGGGTAATTTCCTTTTTCATAGCATTTCCCTAAACAGTATTCGAGCGATTTAATTCATTCGAAATCTTTTCTACGACACGAACTTTGATTTAATTTTATCGACAAAAGAATGAATTAGTATGAATTTTCATTAATTTTGTTCGAACAAGCTTGCGTGTAAATTTTAAATAAAATTAATGTAAATCTATTATTCGTATTTAGCCTTAAATTATTTAACATATTAATTTCAATAAATTTTTCAGCGCTAAATTATTTAATAAATTCTCATTTTGTTTCGATGAATTAAAAATTTACAGATAATATTTAACGTTAAAATTCATTCGATTGATTCTTTCAAGATTTTTCGACGGATATTTTACGTTGCAGCGTTTTAATATAATTTTTTAATTTTTTAATCACTGACGAGTTGATCAACTCTGAATCGAGGAAAAAATATTAAATATAAAATGTACTTTCATTTAAACAAAAAAAAATTTATACTATTGAAATTCAACAAAAAATTTTCATTGTTTTTTCAATCCTATTATTAGCGAATGAATCTAGTAAACTTCAATGTGAAAAGTACAAATGAACATATTTTTCGTAATTCTAAAGATTCAAATGAGAAATACTGAACTATATCTGACAAATGTACTGAAAATTTTTATATTGAATACCAAATAAAATTTTAAAAAATCGATAAATAAAAATGAATTTTGAATGCTGAAACAAATGACCAGCAAATATTATTTAATTTTACAGTGGAAGAAAAATAAGCCACCTGCTTTGGAAGTTTATTAGTGCTCGTGGCTCCTGGTGCCTGACCAATCGCAATCAATTTCTTTAGTCATTACAGATTGATAACGGAGGGAAAATACTAGACAAACCTTGAACTCCGGAGGCATCTGGGCGCGTTCCCTGGCGCGCGCTTGTTTCTCCGTTATGCCGTCGAAAAGGTGCTTGATCGCCCTGGGAATAATCCCGGTCACGGTATCGTCGATCTCTACGTCGAAACCCGTGCCCATGGTGTAGGTCTTGCCAGAACCGGTTTGTCCATAGGCGAAGACCGTCGCGTTGTAGCCGTCGAGGGCACCCTCGACGAGTCTCGCCACGCACGTCTCGTAGATTGAGCATTGGTCGGAGCTCGTGTCGAAGACGTAGTCGTAGGTGAAGGCCTTGTCCGGCCCGAGGAACACCTGGGGCTCACCAGTCGGCACTTGGGTGCATATTCGGCACATGTCGATCACCTCGCGCGCCACTTGCGGTCGGATCCTGTAATTATAACACTGATTCATTCCACCCGTTGCCACGCAGAAGTCAGGTATTATTTACTTTTGGGGGTCGATCTTGGACGCTCTAGCCACAATAACTCTCATTCGGCAGTCAGACTACCAGTTTTTTTGTTTTTTGTTTTTTTCAAGCACAGTTTTAATTATACTGTCGAGATAATATAAACGGGATAAACGAACTGGCCCGGAATTTTTTTGTCTACACTTTCTTTATTTACTGCTCAATTTTCGACAAAGGAATTTATCAAAATAATTAATAGTTTTTTTATGTAATTTTTATCCATTCAGCAATGTTCGCCGAAACCTTGTTAAGCGAATACCCTTTACCGTAATTTTATTTATCACTGAATTGCACGTTCATTAGAAATTATTATTTTAATAGGTTTCAAATATATTTGTTTTTTAAACAAAAGAAGAAAAAAATTAATTCTGTCGGCTGTAAACTTCGATGTATAAACAAAATTGTATATAAAACAATAATTTATGTTGTTTAACAGGGCTATGTTTGGCATTGTCTACATCCCGATGGTGCACCATATATGCATAGACTTTTATCATATGATAAAAGAAGGATATCGAATTGCATATTAATCAAGTACACAATTTTTATTGTACTTATATATAGCTCTATCAACTATTTTACGTATAAATATTTCATTATTCTTTTTTGAAGTTTGCGAGAAAAAAAAAATGAGAGAAGATATGTATAATATTATTATACGAATAATAATTCGTGTAACGAATCGGCATTTTGCTATTGCAAACTTTCCAATTAATCGCGTTCGAAGAAAAAGTTGAAATGTATCGTCGGTGCACACGAATCGTTTATCGATATACGACAAAATGTAAAAAATTATTTTTTCATCGTACAAAATCGACATGATTTCTTACACCATCCCATTCCAAAACGTGTGGCTTTTTAAAATAACTTCTAGTAACACAAAAATGATATTTTCATACGCTTTTAAATTATTTTTCTACTATCCATACGTTCTCTTTTAGTTTAATAATTGAATAAATTTCAATAATATTTTTATTAAAGTGTTATATAAATAATTAAGTTATTCATCTGAATATAATTTTCAAGGCAATTAGATGCAAATAAACGAGTTACATTTCAAATTCAATGCGAATACGTAGTTATGTGCAGACTTGTGTATTAGGAAAACTACATGCATAATAGAAATTAACTGTTTATTATTCGTACTTAACTACAGTCATAAGTCCGTAACTATTAAGTCACTACTATCCACACATTTGATTATAATTATAAGGTTAATGTCCTTTACCCGTATAAGCGAATAAAATTATCTAATATTACATATAAATGCAATTAAATGATGTTACAGTTAATTAAATATTGTTGTAATTTTTATGGATAAGAAAAAAGAAAAAGTAATAATTTGGAGTGTCATCATTCAGAGACTTATTATTTTTATGTTTATTTTTCTTTTAATTAATTTAATTATCTTGAAATAGTCAAGCTCAACTCAGACGATAAATATAAATTGAAATCATTTTTAAAATGAAAAGTGATTTTATGGGATTACTTATGGGATTATAAAAATAATAAATTCAGTGCCGAATGTATAATATAATATAACGAAAGTAATAAATAAGGCAATGCGGCGAGATGTAAAAGTTAAGTATCGAGATCCGAGATAGTACTTTCATATTTCTATAACCAACGTTTCGAGATACGCCATAATAAGTAGCGACATGATTAGAAAACGCAAATAAATATGAAACAATAAATAGGTGGAATATCGTCAAGCTTTTGACGATAATCAACAGACTAATTAGTTTTGAAACGAGGCTGACATATTGAAATGAAATGACGCATGTAAAAGATATTACCGATAATTTTGAAAATTTTCAGTGCAAATATTAAATATTTAATGATATATTTGATGTTACTTTGTATATATATATATATATATATATATATATATATATATATATATATATATACCAAATGCGCGCGCGCATGCACACAGGCGCACAGACACGCACGCATATATTGTGATTAAGAGCGAAAGAGGAAAAATAAAAGTGCCATATCTAATCGCGCAGCCTCTTAAAAGCACAACAAACCGACTGCATTCAATAAAGTTACGTGTTTGTTTTTATAAAGAGAATCTAAATAGCGGATAGAGAAATATAACAAATTAACAGGGCGAGATTCGAAGGCGTAGCGATTGAATCGCGTGAGAAACATTTTTTGACGTTAGAATCATCGTATTACGTATGACGGTGAATTTCAATAAATTAAATGTTTTTTCTTTCTCATCTCGCGGTTCGCTACGTGCATCGATGCAAAAGTGCGTACGCGCGCAGCTGATAGATTGCTGAGCTAAAAGGAAAAACAAACGTCGGCGGACAGAGTATTAACATATTGCATAACTCGAGCCTCGGAAGAGAAGGAAAGAGGAGTCTTTTTACAAACGTCGCCATTAAGTCGACGCGCGAGTAAATTAAGCGGCCGTGCATTCTCAGAAGAATATGGAACGAATGGGCGAGCGGAAAAGCGGCCCAGTTGGCCAAGTGCCGGAGGACCGACTTCTCGGTACCGCTCTCGTCTGAATAAAATAACCCGCCTCTGATTGGACGGTTGTGCCTGGTTGTGCACGGACGGCTCTAAAGATCGAGCTGACTTATGGGAGAAGTTTAGTGGCTTCTGCGTACCCGACCCTGACAAGGAGTCATGAATGAAAGCTGTGCGTGTGCGAGCACCAGGCTTTATCAATGAGCCGGACCGAGGGAGAACAGTATCGCAGCGGAGAACCGGTCTCTCGAGGAGGTGTGAGCGAGCTGCGTGGGAGTGCATGCGGTACGAAAACAAGGTGGAGAGTCACGTCTGAGGGGCCGCAGTTTGTTTTCCCGTCTTTGTCGTTATCGTCGCCGTAGTCGTCGTTCACTCTCTCACTCGCTCTTCTTCTCGATGCACCAATATCGAGTCGAGACTAGCACTCGAGGTAGCTCCGCAGCTCTCTGCTTTCTTGTCTTCGTTTTTTATTTGGTTTCTCGTCGCCGGTGCTTCCAAGGCGATCATCACCGCTGATTGATTCGTTCATTCGGTGGCCTTCGGTCGATCGGTTGAGAGCGGCTTGGCCGGTCGGTTAAGTGGCCATCGCCGCTTATTCCACCGACTCTCGGCCCTATGAACGCGGCGGATGTTAAAAATAACTTTCTCGGCGGCTTAGCTCGGAAAACACAGAGTCCAGCGAAAATTCTTCCTGACAACTTTTGGCCTACCTTTTCTCGCGGTAAACGCTACCAAAAATAAAGCGCATGACTGAAGGGGGTCAACTTGAAACGTGGCGGCAATCAATCGCTCCCGGGTACTTCCGAGATGATGATGATGGCCAACGTTACATAAACCTCGCTTCGTATACAAAGAAAAAAAAATCAAACAAACAAATAAACAAACAAATGTTAGAATGACTCTCTCTCTCTCTCTCTCTCTCTCTCTCTCTCTCTTGCAGAGTCGGAGAATGATGATTGTGCATTGGGCCGAGAGTACGCACAATGAGGCATGCATTTTTTGCGGGAAGAAATGATATTTCCAAGTCGTTTCTTGGGCATCTATCCATTGGATCGAGGCGTATTCCGAGCAATAATTACGACAAGGTCTGCGTGAACAGGGATGGAGAATAGTTCGATTAATGGATTAAAAAGTTCGATTAATCAAAAAAGACAGAAGAAAGAAATCCTGAGGAATAAATGAACCAATGCCGAGATCTGAGATTTCATTTGCCGAATCGAGAGAGTACGAT